CCTTAAATTCCTCAAGGGGCTCTGCCTCAGGACAGTGACAGTTGGGGAAAATAAAATAGAAGCCCTGGGCTGTTCATTGCGCCAGTTCCCACTGCTCCAATGCAGGCTGACTGGGGCTTGAGACCCAACGAGGCAGAGACCAGGATGCTGCTCCCAGGGGTCAGGCTCTGCCTCCACATACTCCCTGCCCAGGAACAGGTGAGGGTGGGAGAGGCAGAAGGTCTACCCTTCCCACTGAAGCTTTTGTCAGATTCTCAGAGTGTAACCTCCTACAGTTTCACATGGTGGTTACATCCGGGACTTTCGGCGCTTGGGAAAAGCCGAGAGACATGGTTTCAGAGATGGCATCTCACGTCACGGAAATACCCAGGTTCTGAGGTTGGATCCAGCTCTGATTCTCCAGCTGTATGTGCATCGTGGGCAGGTCTCCTCTGTGAAACGGAGTGTGGGACCCTTACCTTCGACTTCTGAGGGGGGAACAGCAGTGACGATAACGTATGTTATGGCAGAAAGAACACCCATCTTGGAGTCAGGACGCTGTGTTTGAATCTTGGCATAGCCCTTGCATCACCTTGAACATATTGCTTCATCTTGAGTCCGTACCTGTGAAGTTGGTGAAGGTTGATGAGATGTAAATAATGTCTGTGAAAACTAGCCTGGAGCCTGGCACACCCCCAGCTGTGCCCATTCCTGGCTCTCCCTCCCCCTCCCAAGCAGCCCCTGCGCTTTTTCCTCCTCAGGTGTGTGTGGGGCACGCATGGGCAGGAACCCCAGGTGGGGCACTGTTGGGGCCTGCCAGGCCCTGGAGAGGGGACAGGGGCTGTGCCTCACCTGGCACAGGCTGGCACCTGCCATTCCTTTCGGTCCACATCTGGGCCTCCCAGGAGGGGCTTCTCCCCAGCTCTGTATCAGATCTAGGCCGTTTCTCTACCCTCCCCTTTCCTACTGGGTCCTGGTGTCCCTATCTTTACCCCCTTGCACACGCACCTCTCCTGGACACAGGGAGACACGGGAGCAAGACGGACTGGAGGCTGCCCTCAGTCTCACAGGTGCTGGGACACAGGGAAGCTGCTCCAAGAGCCTGCGCTGGGAGGACAGATAGACTTGACCAGAGAACGAGATGTTGCCACAGAGGTGGGGAGACATGGGCGGTGTGGCTGGAGCAGAGTCAGCCCACAGAAGGCAGTGGAAGATAAGCCGAAGGAGTCCTGACCAGTGGGGAGCTCTTTGTTGCTGCTGAGAGCAATGGAGGAGCCTCAGAGGGACTTCATGCCCCCTTAACACTCACGGCCAGGGGCTGTGCTGGGCTACAGACATGGATCAGGTGTGACCCTCGGCCCTGCATGGCTTAGGGTCGCGATACACCACTAACGACGGTGATGAAAACAGCCGATCGGGTGGCTGTGAGCTGGCACTCAGCGCGAATTACCTAATTCCCACAACAGACCGTAAGATAAACCCTGATAGTATCCTGGCTTACCCAGAGGAAATGGTGAGCTCCTTGCCCAGGGTCTCCCCACAGTGAGGAACTAGAGCTGAAGCTGCCTCCAGTCTGTTCAGGCTCCTATAACAAAACACCACAGCCTGGGTGGCATATAAACAACAGACATTTGTGTCCACCCTTTTGGAGACTGGGAAGTCCAGGATCCTGGCGCTGGCAGAGCTGGTATTTGCTGAGGGCTGCCTGGTTCCTAGACTGCCTTCTTTTTGGTATGTCCTCACTTGGTGGAAGGGGCAAGGGATCCCTCTGGGACCTCATTTATAAGGGCATGGATCCCACTCATGAGGGCTCCCCCCTCATGAACTAATCACTTCCTAAAGGCTCACCTCCTAATACCACCACCTTGACTTTGGGGATTTAGGGGGAGGAGGGTTACCTTCAAACCATAGCAGATATAACTCTATATTCTATCACCTCCCAAAGGGTAGAGGTCATTTATGCCTTGGGAGGAATGGGGCCAGGAAAGACATGAGGAAGAAGGATATGCTGAGTCTTAAAAAAGTGGGTGGGATGAGGTGGATAGATGTGGGAAGGCCATTGGAGACAGAAGGAGCAGCACAGCAAATGCATGGAGTCGTGAGTTAGCAGGTGGGGACCTCAGGTGGGTGGAATGGAAACGGGGGGCAGACGGCTTACTGGCTGGAAAGCTCAGGTCTGTGGGCAGTGGCGATGCGATCTGCTTTGTACATAGAACGAGCATCTGGCAGAGAGAGGACAGTGGTTTCGAGGCAGAGGCAGCCCATCCAGGCACTCATTACATGTTCGTTCACTAAATGGATGGAATTTAACAATTACTGTATGTTCCAGTCACTGTACTCGACTCTGGGCTCTGAGCAGGCAACAACACGGATGCTGTAAATGGCCAGCTGTTAGGGTAGTCCCATTGGAAGATGATGAGACCCGGATTTCCATGAAGCAGTGTGTGTGGGAGGAAGGGGTGGGTCTGTGGCGTTCTCAGAAGATAAAATCAAAAGAACTAGATGACCAGTGGGACAGAGTGGGCTGGGGAGATGAAGACTCTGAAGTCGAACCTGAGGTTTCTGGTTCATTGGAGGGAGCACAGGAGGAGCAGGAGCAGATGTGGGGAAATACGTTAAATACGTTATGTACATCCCCGTGACAGAATCCTTAGGAAACATACATTTGATGTCTAACATTTATTTCGAGAGATGTATTGTTTAACCAAATCTCCGTTACACACTTCTGTATTTTTTTCAGGTTTTTCACTCTTATAAATAACCCTGTATTAAACAGCTTTTTACAGAGGTCTTCTCCACGCAGTCATCAGTATGAACAGCCTTGAAGCTTTTGTTTCATATTCAGATTGCAGTGTAGGCGAGTTCTACCTCAACTCAGCACTGCAAGCTGAGAGGCGCGCGCGCACGCACACACACACACAGGGTGGGGCAAAAGCAGGTTTACAATTGTGAGCACACAAAACAGTTTATTCTTGTATTAGCATTTGTTAATTATTGTATTTTCCATACAAACAACTGTAAACTTTTGCCACACCCTGTATTTTAGAGGATAAAAATAGTATCTGGTTACACAAATTTGCATTTTTATCACTAATGAGTTTTTCATGCTTACTAACCTTATTTTATGTTCTTTTCCCATTTTGGGGGGTCTCGTTGACTTTTTATGAATTTTTTAAATATGTATTATTTATGACAATATTTCCCACTTCTTTGTTTCCTTCCTAATTTTGCATACTATATTTTTTATGAACCAAAGCACTAAAAGTGTTTACAAAGTCAGAATTCATTGACCTTCTTCTTCATTTCTAACATTGCAGTAGTGTTTAAGAAGCTCAGTGATAAAATATGCAGCTAAATTTCCTTTTCCTTTTCCTTTTAGCAGGAGAGGCAGTGAGTGGCTCTTTTTTTCCTAAGTAGCAGATTTTCAAATGTCACTTGCTGAGAAAGTCGCCTTGTTCCCGCCGACGGTGCAGCTTCCCTTCATATCACCTAAGCGCGGGCATGCAGACTGACCTGCTTCTGGGCTGTCTTGGCTCATCGATCTTTGTGTTGATTCTTAGACATCTGTCCGTGCTTTAATCGTTGCAGACTTATAATATACTCCATATCTAACTTTTAAGTTTATCTGTTAAATATTTGGATGGGTTTTTAGAATCCTTTTGGTACATTTCAAAAAAGAAATCCTGTTGGGATTTTTCTTAGAATTAAGTTAAGCCTACTTTAATCTGGGAGGAAGTGGCATTGTGTTAATGTTCAGCCTTCTCATCCAAGATATGGCTTGTCTCCCATTTTTTTTCAAGTAATTTTTTAGATCTCTCAAAGGATTGCAGCTTTTTTTTTTTTTCCTTTTTACTACAGATCCCACAGACTTAAGTTTATTGATCAGTATTTGATTATTTTTTTGTTCGGATTGCAAATGGGATCTCTTTTATATTATATCTAGTGACTTTCCTATTGGAGTACAGATCCTATTACTAAATTATTTTACCCATTAAGTTTATTGATTCTTTTAGGTTTTCTAGGCAAATAACAAACTCCCTGCGAATAACAGGCTGGAGCCCCTGGCGTGGCGATGCCTCCAGTCTGAGGGCCGGTCTGTGAGTTCCTCCAGCAGTACTCAGGAGCCCAGCTGTAAGGGTGGTAAAGAGCCGATGCCAAGTTCAGGGCTTTCCTGGGCTGGGGCAATAGGGAGGCAGGGGGCAGGGAGTTGACTCATGAGAGGGTAGCTGAAGTGTATGCTTCAGGGTCTTGAACAGAAAGGCAGGGCTGAGGACTAGAGGGAGGGAGAGTGAGGAGGGGAAGGGGTGGCCCTGGACTGCACACAGGATGTCAGGTTTCAGAGCGGAAGCCGGTCCTGTATGGTCCTGAGATCACGGAGGGAAGAATGGTCCCATCCTGCAGCTACGGGAACTGAAGCTCAGAGAGCTTGCCACGTGACCACCAGCTCTGGTCGGTGGCAGGACTGGGCCTGGAGTGTTGTTCTGGGTCCCGTACTAGCTGACGTTCTGTCTTTATTTTTCAGGTTCACTTTAGAACAGTTGGCTGAGAGCCAGGAGAGACAACACAAGGGAAAGGAGGCGAGCCCAGCAGAGCAGATAGGAGAGAGAGGGCAGGCTCCTCCTGGGCCCCTAGTAGCTGCGCAGGGTGGGGGCCAGCTGGGCCGTTGGGTCTTCCTGATGACCCAAGAACCCCCTCGGGCAGAGCAGCTCACCTGAGCGTCCCACACCCTCTGCTCGGCCATGCAGCTCACTCTGGACCCTCATTACACACTGTGGCACCACTGTTTGCTCACTGTTCCCACCACACACCCTTGTCTCTCACACATTCTGCGTCCCCAGCACACACCACGTCCTCCCTCTCCCCGCTGTGTTTATCCCACCTGCCCCGGGTCCTCCAGTACACGTCACGCCCCCACCTCGTTTCTCATTTGCCTTTGCCTGTAAACACTGTGAGTCCTGCCACTCACACTGTCCCCTCACGGCTGTGTGCCCAGCTCACGTCCAGCTGTGCTGTGTCCACAGAGTGCATCGGACGGCTTCTGGAAATCTGTGGCCACTCGAGTGCCCAAGGAGCCCCCTGAGATTCGTATCCTCAACCCGTATTTCATCCAGGAAGCTGCCTTCACCCTCATCGGACTGCCCTTCAACAATGGCCTCATGGGCCGCGGGGTGAGAGGCTAGGCCAGGAGAGGGTGGGGAACTGGGTCAGAAGGACCTCGGGAAGAAAGGACAGACGGACGGGGTGGGGGGTGGGAGGAGGAACGGAGCGGCGGCGGGGGTCCAGTCCTCAGGAATGGAGCTCAGCTCTGGGGAGCTTAACTGAGGATCTCAGCCTCGCCCAGCCCTCCAGCTGAACTCTGCACCTGTCCCTCCTGCAGAACATCCCGACCCTGGGCAGTGTGGCCGTGACCATGGCGCTGCATGGCTGTGACGAAGTGGCAGTCGCAGGCTTTGGCTACGACATGAGCACACCCAACGCACCCCTGCACTACTATGAGACCGTGCGCATGTCAGCCATCAAAGAGGTGAGGGGCTGGGTGGGCAGGGCCAAGGGGGGCACTTCCAGCACTGAGGACAGGCTCCGACTGTTCACCGTGAATGGTGATGAGATGAGCCAGCGGCTGCTCCGGCTGCCCAGAGCTCCAGGAAGGTGCCACTACCCAGCTAAGGAGGCCCATTCCTGCCTGCGGGCCTCTGACCACGAAGCACCCTCTTGCCCCTCCCCAAGAACTCAGAACCCTGTCCCGTTTCCTTCCTGAACCTTCCCTCTCCAGCTTGCTCCCTGCCCTGGTCCCGCACCTGCCGCCTCCTTGCAGTTCCCCAGCCGTCATACGCTAATCTTGGCAGCAGCTCAGAGCCACCCTCTCTACCTCAAGTCATCTTTCTCCCAGAGGACTCCTTGACCCCTCAGACAACCCACAGACATTGCCTCCAGGTCTCAGGATACCCTGTACCTCCTCCACCCTCCCCATGGCCAAGCCCTGAAGCTTGTTATAACCCAGAATTACCTCCCAGGTGATCCATGTGCTCAGGCTCCTTAAAGTGGAAAAAGCCTTACAGGTCTCCCAGCCTGTCGCCATCTCCCGCATCTCTCCCTCACGGCAAGAGCTCACGCGGAAAATCAATCCCTCTTCTACCTTCACTTCTACCACTAGCCTTGCCCTGGTCCCAGCCTAGAACCTGGACCTCTGGGGTTAGCACGTTGAGGAGCTTCTCTGCTCCTGCACTGGTGTGGGGTTGCTGGAGGAACTCTGTCATAGTTCTCATCTCAGCCAGCCCTCATTCCTGCTTCCCGGTCCTCGCACGCCCTTCTCCAGCCCCCTGCCCCTCCCGTGAGAACACGGCTGCAGTGGGGACTGTCGGCTCCTGCTGGGTGTCCCCTGTGCACTCCTCACTCCCACTTGGTCTTTCGCCCCGCGCAGTCTGGCTGCCCCTTCACTTGACACGACTCCCACCAAGGTCACCAGTGACTTACCTCCAGGCTCCAAATCCGATGGACACGTGGAAGTCCCACCTTTCCCGGTCTCTCAAACACTTGTGCTGACCACTCCTTCCTCTTTGAAACCCTCTCCTGCTGAGGCTTCTGAGTCAGTAGCTTCTGGTGTTGATTCACTCGCCAGGCTCTCTCGTTCTCTGGCTCAGTGTCCTTGATTGCGGTCCACCCCTTAAGAACCAGCATCAGCCTGGGCTCCAGCCCAGGCCGCCTCTCCTCACCCTGCAGGTTCTCCAGGAGACTGCTGTCCCCAGCCATGGCCCCAGTCACCATCTGGACTGTCTGCAGCTCTTTCGGTTCGTTCAGGCTACCTCAAGTAATGGGAGCTTATTTCAAGTTTATAAGAAAGACTTGGGAGTCTCATGGGAAATCAGAAACGGTCTTCCCCAGGCCTCCCGTTGCCAGGAATGGGATTCAGGAGCGGAAAGCGCCTCCTGGTCGGTTCCAGAACCGTCTTGCCCTCACCAGCGGCTCCTGCCTCCTCATTACCCCGACTCCATTAGTCATCCAGCTCTGTCTCTCTTGATGTGTCTTGTTGCTTCTTTGTCCCCTGCCGGCACCCACTCCAAACTCTTCTCACAGCTTTTACCTGCCCCCGGCGTCTGTTTACTTATATATTTGCTCTCTTACACAAATACTGTGAACACTGTCAGACATATTCATAAACGTAGAGAATAACATAATGAACTTCCATGTAAACTTGAGAGACTGTAGACGTAAGCAGTCGCTGGATCATGAGGGGCTGTCTCTGCCATGGCGAGGAGTTTGGGCTTCGCTCTGAAGGCTGGAGGGAGCCACAGAGGCAGAAGCATTTTAAGCCGAGGATTAGCAGGTAGTGGCCTTGCTGTGGCTGCAGTGTGACATCGAGGCGTGCAAGGCAGGAATAGAAACCAGTTAGCAGGCTGCCCAGCAGTCGAGGCAAGAGATGAAGACTCCTGACCCGGACACAGCGGAGAAATCCAGGCTGGAAATGTACATCTGTGAGTTGTGAGCACAACTGCATGTCCAGACACAGGCCAGGCGTGTGTGAAATTTCCCAGGGAGACGGTAGACTGGGACGTGCAGGCAGTCGCCACCCGAGGAGCACCAACATTTAGTGACGGGGTGAGGGAGGAGGAGCAGACATCAGACAGAAAAAGAGCTGTCCGGAGGAAGGCTCTCCGAGAGTGGCCGCTGAGTGGGATGGACATCTGCCTCCAAAATCAGAGGTCCCGGTGAGGCTGGGGACACGGGACCAGAATCACACCCCGGGCCGTAGACAGTGCAGACAGTGCAGTGCCGAGGGCTCCGGTCATCTGTGCGCCTGCCCGGAGGAGGAGTTGAGAGAGCACCCGAGAGGTGGCATTGCCTGGGCAAGAGAGCTACATCCCAGGCAGACGTGTTTACTCTTTTATAGTGAACACTGTCAAACGTCAACACAGAGAATGATAGAACGAACTTCCATGTAGCTGCCACTTGGCCCTGCCCCCATCCCTCACCCCCCAGTGATCAGCACACAGCCAGTGTTGTTTCATCTGTTTCTTCCTCTTACCTTTACTCCCCACTGATGATTTGGAAACAAGTCTCAGATAGATCATTTCAGCCAAAAACATTTCAGTAAGTTTTTCAAAAAGATAAGGACTATTTTCTACTATCACAGTACCACGATGACACCTCGAAAAATTAATAATTCCTTCATATCATCAAATACCCAGTCCTTTGCTGACCTTTCACTCCTCAGTGACTCGCAGGGGGCGCCCTTGAAGCTGATCTGTCAGACTGGTTACTTCTCCCTGGGGGTAGTGAAGGGGTGGGTAAGGAAAGAGCTGTATGAGTGTCTCCATTTGCTGGGATCCTGGCCCTGCCATTCCTCCAGGCCTCCATTGTCTTACCTATAAAATCTAATTCCATTCGACACATACTGAGCACCTGCTCTGTGCCAGATTGTCCCTGCCTTCAGAGCGGTGAGACAGATGCTTGCATCTCTAAGAAATGAGGGCACGTCACCTAGGGGTCTGCAACAGCAGGGGCAACGCGCTGAAGGCAGAGAGTATAGTGACAGGTTGGAGAGAGTTACTGGATCAGAGTAAGGACCAGACAGGGCTGTAAGGTCTCAGCACCGCGATCTCGCGCCTGTGGTATCACTGTGGTGAGGCTCAGTGCCAACAGACGCAGCAGAGCAGTCGGGTGGGTACAAGCTCTGCACCCGACGATGTGATGAATGCCCAAACCAGGCTATTGGCGTTCATTCATTCACTTAATCCTTTTTCTTCCTTTGAGAGACTTAGTCACCAAAGCTTCCTGATGAGGACTGGGGTTGGAAAGAACCTGAGCCTGGGTGCAGTCTCACCCAAGGAGAAGGCAGCATCCTCCCTGTAATTTCCACATTAACAGTGACATGGGCCCGCTGCCCTGTGGCCTCTGGGCTCCTCTGACCTGAGAGGCAGGGTTTCATCAGCGGCCCCCAGGCCCGGAGAAGTGGATTGCATCAGGCCAGAGAGTGACTAAGCCACCCCAAGAGGCTCTTTTCAGCAGGTCCACCCCCAGGCCTGGGCAGGGCCTGGTGACTCACATTGCCAGTCCTCAGGGTGCCTAGGACTTAGGTGCCCCAGACCTGCTGCTGGACAAGGAGGGTTGAGGTCTTTGCGAACACGGTTGGAAAGCCTGTATCTCCTAAGGTTACAAGAAGTTAAGAGGCAGTTCTGGGGAGGGAGGGGGGTGAGCTGTGGCACAGAGCGTCGGAGGGTGGTGGTCAGAACAGGGCACTGAACCCTGGGAGGTACCTGTTAGTGGGGCCGTGCCCTAGCAGCCACCAAGGCTGCCCCACTGACCGCTTCTCCATCTCTCTCCTCCCAGTCCTGGACACACAATATTGAGCGGGAGAAAGAGTTTCTGCGGAAGCTGGTGAAAGCGCGCGTCATCACTGACCTAACCAGTGGCATCTGAGATGGGCCCAGCACGTGGCACGGAGGTCCCAGCACCACCACCAGCAGGCAGCAGCCACCGCCACCCGCCCAGTTCATTGGCCTTGGTCTGGCTCTGCCTGAGAGGCACAGAAGTGTTGAGACCCAGAGAAGGACAGTGCCAAGTGGCCCCAGGGGTGGCGAAGCCTTGGCAGGGCAGCCAGAGCTGTGTCTGCTCAGAGACCAGCCCTCGGCCTCACTCTCAGCCTGGATCCTTGAAGCCAGAGCGCCAGGAGGCCGCTGGCCGTGCCCCGCGGGCCCAGCATGCCAGAGGTGGACGTTAGGCAGCAAGGCGGCTGCCGGAATTATTTCTCCAATCAGTGTTTGGTGTACTATCATTTTGTGAATTGGGGTGGGGGGTGGGGATAATTTATTTTTAAATAAGGTTGGAGATGTCGAGTTTGGTACACTTGCCATGCAGAGAGAGGGCCCACCAGGCGGGGGTGCCATAGGCTCCCTGTGGAGTGGGAGTGCCATGACTAGCCTGTACTCTGCTCAAGAGCTGCAAGGAGCTGGGCGGGAGCTCATGCCAGCCCCCTGCAGCTCATGACATTGCTTGGCCTTTCTTGAGGAGAAGATGGGATACTCCCACATACCAGCTGCCCACTGTCCACAGGGAAACCCCGGAGCCATTCTTTAAGCCAACAAGACAGCCCCTGGGCTAGAGCAAAGAGAACTCGGAGCTCAGGAGGCGAGGCCTGGCCCAGCCCGAAGGGAATGGCCCCTCCCCAGCTGCTACTGATCCGTAGGACAGTGCCCAGGCCTGGACTGACCAACTTGGCAGCTGTTCTGGGTTTCAGCAGGACTGCCAGGTCCTTGGGTTCTGCCTTGAGCCTGGACCAGAGGGAAGTGAGGCTTAAGGACCTTACCCAGGCTGCGGCAGCCATCCTGGGCAGCCATCCTGGAAGCAATAAAGCTCTTCCCTGAGCCTGGCCTCCCTTGCTTTCTCTTTCCTGTAAGAAACAGGACCCTGGGGCCTCAGCAGCTATGCTAAACCCAAGGGTCATCTCTTCAGCTCAGATTCCTGGGTTCCTTTCATTTCGGTGCCAACTGCAGGCCCAGGGGCATTCTGGAGCCTCTCTCCTCCCACACAGTCCTGCACCCTCTTTGCCTGAGAGAAGTAGCCCAGGGGCCTCGGGGCCTGCCCAAAGGGCAGGGGATTGAAGCCCATGGTTCCAGGACAGTGCCTCTGGGCCCCACAGCCCCATCACTGCAGGGACAGGTCCCTGCAAGTACAGGAAGGATACCCTGCTGAGCCCCCAACACAAGCCCACAGACCTCACCCATTCCTGGCACCCCTGGCTGAGCCTGGAAAGGGCTGTCCTACCCCCACCTGAGCACACAGGCACACCCTCTCTCCTCTGCCCCCTCTTCTCTCTCAGAACAGGAAGGCACAGCCCAGCTCTATGCACTCTGGCGACTATTAGAATGGATGTCTCTTCCCACCTTACCCCCTAGAGCCCTGGAACCTGACCCCTGACCCTTCCCTAGATTCCCCATGCAGGCCTGAGAATGGGCCCAGCGCAGGCCAGCAGCTGAGACCATGGAGTGAGCTTCCGGCCAGAGCTGCCGCCTTGGCTGGGACCCTTGCCTCTCACCTGCCATCCCCATCCACTCCGCCGCCTTCCCACGTGTGCCCTTACTGCTGTGGTTGGTTCTCAGGCAGGAGCCTCCTCCACTGAGGGGCAAGTCAAGGCCCTGACTGAGGGGACAGGCAAAACCAGAAACTCCCTCTGATCTGCTGGGCGGCTGCGAAGCACTCGAATGCACGTCGTATTCTGCGTGAATGGTGCCCCCTAGAGTTGTACAGGGCATAGGCAGCATGCCTGCAAGCCACAGCCAGGGCTGGTAAAGCCCCAGGGAAGCCACCCAACTGGGCAGCCAGTTGTGAGAGGCAGCAGACAGTGGAGCTGCTCACCACCTGGCCTCCTGCCCCTCAGGGGTCCTCGGGCCCACAGACAGCCCCCACACCACCCGCAGTTCTCTGCAGTCTGGCTTGTAGCCTCCCCCTGTGCACAGAAACTGCTCTCACGAAAGCAGTGGTCTCAGCCCTGGCTGGCACCAGAAACACCTGTGGACTTGGGAACCAGCACATGCGCACACCAAGGTTCTGATGCAGGGCTGGGGTGGGGCCCGGAGGCGGGCAGTTTTAAGAGGTCCTAAGGGTGTTCTAACGCATGGCCAGGCCATAGCTGGTCCACACACACTCCCTGAGCACTTCCATTTCCACCCACGGTTTCCAATTGTCAGTTGGTCCACAGTTCCCGAAGTGCCATCTCCAGCCCAGCTCCCTCCACTCCACTCCAGGCTGCAAGTTCAGCAGCATCCTGAACTTTTCCAGGAGGAGAATCCGCAGGTCCTCCCCTCCCCCCCCCCCCCCCCCCCCCGCCCCCAGGGAGTTCTCCTGCCAGAATGCATCCCGTCCACCTGGTCACCCAGCCTGCAGCATGCCAGTGTCTGCCCTCCCTCAGCCCATCAGTCAGGCACCAGCTGGGTTCTCAAAGAGCTATGATTCAGAAAGACCCGTGCAGTACCCCCCACTCTCCCCGCTACTCTGCTTCCCACTCACTCCCTCAGCAGCCTCCTGACATCTCCACCCCTCTTCTCCAAAACACTCTCCCCACTGCAGCAGTCAGAGAAATGTAAGTCTGATGCACCATTATTCTGCCTGAAACCCTTCTGTGGTCCCGTGTCATCAGGATAAAGTCCAGACTCGCGGGTATGACACAGCATCTGGCCTTTCCTTACCTCTATGCATGTTACTCACCCTACTTCCACCCCACCTGCCAACTTGCCATAATTAGGCTTCTGAAATACTATCCCCCAGCTCATGAGCACATGAAATACTCCTCCTCCGTGAACCACACCCCCCGCCCCCTTCTTCAGCACTGGGCACCCACTCCTAGCGGCAGTGTTTGCAGGTGTGTCTCTCTACTCCAAGCCCCAGGCTGCCAGGGTGAAGGGTGGTGGGACGGCTGGAGCAGGGTCAGACTTGAAAGCCCCGGCACAGGGCCTGGCCCACCCAAGGAGTTCCGCGGGTCTGCTGAAGGAAGAAACTAGCAGTGGACCAGAGAGCAGAGAGCAGTCACTGCAGGGTGGCCAGCCAGGGCCCTGAGACGGCGCCAACTGGAGGGCCGGTGGCCCAAGGCTGGGACTATCCTGTCTCCTCCCTCTCCCGCCCTCAGCCCGGCCTCCCAACTCCCTACTTCGCGTGTCTATAAACTGAACGCCCACTTTCCTCGCCTCTCCGCCGCTCAAGTTCTCCACGCTGTGTCCTGGGTTTTCCACTTCCCAGTGTCCGCCCCTTCACCTTGGGGGACTTAGCTGAGCCAGGGGGGGACCGGATCCCAGCGGGTGGAGCAACCAGGTGAACCCTGAAAGGTAGGGCGGGGCGGGGGCGCTTGGGCCCCACCCCGGGATCCGGTGACGCCGGGACTGGAATTTGACACCGGTCGGCGGCGGCAGGCATGAGGCTGCTGAGGGATGGAGTTGGGCCCGGCCCCCAGACACGGCCCACGGGCTCCACAAGCAGCAGGTCCCTCGGGCCCCAGCCCTCGCTGCATCCTGGACCCAGAGCCCTGCACTTGAGGTAAGCCGGCTGTTGGCCCACCCTCATCCCAGCCTGGAGTTAGGGGGAGCGGGCAGGAGAGGCCCCACCACTTTCTCACATCCTCCCTCTCCTGGCCCCAGTGCAGCTCTTTGCCCCTCCCAGCCCCCTCAGTCCTTCTGGTCGCTTGAGGGACTGTGCTAGCCCTGCCAACCCACTGTAATGTGAGGCTCTTGCTGCCGCTACTGGGTGCAGACTGGCTGCCAAGGCCACGCTTTTGGCTAAAAGAGGCACCGCCAGGTGCATAGCCCTGGGCATGAGCCTTTCAGCTGCGGGGAAAGTCCAGCACTGGTCCCAAGGACGGTGCCTAGAAGAACAGGGTGCAGGACCCTCATGGTGAGTCTCTGGCTGCAGATGGGGAGGCAAAGGCTGGGGGACCGAGTGGCCCCAAACCACCAGGAGGAAGAGAGGGGCTAGCTGCCCTCAAGACACCTGCTCCTGGGGTCCCCCTAGCACAGGAGGTCCTGAGGGCTGGCTTGCCTGGCTTGCCTGGCTTTCCCTCGAGCAATGAGAAAAGTCACTGGCCCGGCCACTCCGTGGCCCTATTCAGTTAGTTGAACACACCTGGACCTGAGATGGACCACACCAGGAAGGCCTGTGGAGGTCTGACCCACACACATGCAGGTGACAGTTGGGACCCAACAGCAGGCCAGCTAGTGGGGCCCCAAGGGTGTCTGGGGTTCAGGAAATCTGGTGGGGCTCAGAAAGGCTAGCTGGGCTCAGGAAAGAAGCTTCATGCAGGAAACTTCTAAGAGTGGGACCAGCTGTTAGATCCACAGGAAAGTGGAAGGAAGGGGGACAGACCTGCACCAGCGCTCGGGGCAGCTCAGCTCTCAGACCAGGCTGGTGTGGAGCTTTGGCTGGCCCCCGGGGGAGTTGCTCAGGCCTGGGTCTGGCTGAGGGTAGGGAAAAGCCCACCCCACTTTGAGTCTGCGTGCTTGACAGATGCTGCCCCCTGGTGGCCATAGGGAACCATGGCCCAGGCCCCAGGTTCTTAGAGGGCCCATCTGCTGGCTCTTGAAGGACATCTGTGATCAAAAGAGACAACTCATGTGGCTCTGGGTCCAAAGATCACAGAAGAACAAGGTTCGGCAGCATTGGGTGGGCAGCACAGGCCGAGGCCTGAACCTCACTATCATAAGAAAACTTGGACCAACCAGCAAGCACCCTAATTCTTCAGGCCACAGCTGCTTCTTGTATGGCATGGAGAGAACGCTGTCTGGGGGACCAGAGGGGTCCAGCTACTCCCTTCTGGCAGCTCCAGCCCTGCAGCAGGAAGGCTGGGGAGGGGGGTAGGATACTTCCAAATACCCCCTCCCCCAGCTGTGTGAGTCTAGCCTTGTGACCTTAACTTGTTGACCTTCTCTGAGCTCATTTGGAAAATGGGGATTATGCCATTTACCTCATGGGGTTGTAAGGACAGAGAGAGAAGAGAGAACAGGTGCAAAGCACCAACACAGAGTTAAGTTCCTGATGCAGCTACTTCTCCCGGGTTGAGTCCGCCTATCCAACCCCTTGTTCCTCACCTGGGGAAACTGAAATGGAGGGATGACCTTCTCAAAGATAACTCCTCTCTCAATGTTCCAAGCTGCCTCAAGAAGAGGGTGGGGGAACAAGTCGACTAGGCTGATGGGAGATCCTGGTATTGACAGAGATGGAGCCTGGACGTGGAGGCCCTTCCGTGCTGCCCCGCTGGCCCCCGCCTAGGCGGCAGGTGAGTGGTTCTCCCAACGACTCCCACCTGGTATTGAGGGAGGTGGCTGGATCCGGGAGGGAGAGCCGGTTTGCCCTGGGCAGGAGTCAGAAGTGAAAAGGAAAGTGGTCAGGGAGGGACCAGGAGTGTGGAGCAGTGGTTCTCAACCTTCCTAATGCCGCGACCCTTTAATTCAGTTCCTCATGTTGTGGTGACCCCCAACCATAGAATTATTTTCGTTGCTACTTTGTAACTGTAATTTTGCTACTGTTATGAATCGTAAGGTAAATATCTGATACGCAGGATGTATTTTCATTGTTACAAATTGAACATAATTAAAGCATAGTGATTAATCACAAAAACAATATGTAATTGTATATGTGTTTTCCGATGGTCTTAGGCGACCCCTGTGAAAGGGTCATTCGACCCCCAAAGGGATCGCGACCCACAGGTTGAGAACCGCTGGTGTGGCGGCAGGTTGATGCCCTCAGGTGATTTCTCCTCTTGGCTCCCTTAGGCAGCAGACTCCAACCTAAGCCCTTCCCGACTCTCCCCACCCAACTAGAAGCCCCGCTCTGAGCTCTGCGGCCCCAGCCCCTCCTGGGCTCCCTCCACCCTGAGACCACCTGGGTGCCCTCTTCCTCCCTGAGGCTCCACCTTGTCTCTCTGCGCAGCCTGCCCTGTGGCCATCGCTGGCCACTCTGGTGCTGCTGAGCAGTGTTGCTGAGGCCTCCCTGGGCCTCGCGCCCCGCAGCCCCGCCGCCCTCGAAGGCCCCGCGCCCGCCCCGGCGCCCCCCGCCGGCCACCTGACCGGTAAGTGAGAGGGCAGGGGCCGGGTGGCTGCGGGGCGGCGGGGAATCCCGCGCACGCATGACTCCGTCTCTTTCTAGGTGGCCGCGCTTCCCGTTTCTGCAGCGGAAGAGCCCGACGGCCGCCCCCCAAGCCGTCCCGGCCCGCGCCCCCGCCGCCCGCGCCCTCGCCCGCGCCCTCCCGCGGCGGCCGGGCCGCGCGTGCCTGGGTCCGAGGTGTCCGCGCCAGCCGGCGGAGCCGCGCGCGGGCCGTGGGGGAGCGGGGCTGCCGCCTGCGCTTGCAGCTGGTGCCGGTGGGCGCGCTCGGCCTGGGCCACAGCTCCGACGAGCTGGTGCGTTTTGGCTTCTGCAGCGGTTCTTGCCGCCGCGCGCGCTCCCAGCACGACCTCAGCCTCGCCAACCTGCTGGACAAGGGGGCCCTGCAGCTGCCTCCGGGCTCCCGGCCGGTCAGGCAGCCCTGCTGCCGACCCACGCGCTACGAGGCTGTCTCCTTCATGGATGTCAACAGCACCTGGAGGACCGTGGAGCAGCTCTCAGCCACTGCCTGCGACTGCGTGGGCTGAGAGCTCTCTCCAAGGATTTGCGGATGGCACCCTGATATGGGGACGCTTCCTGCCTGGAAGGGACCACGGGCCTCAACCAGAGATGGACGCCATAGGCCTCAGCCGGGCTGGTGATGGGCATCAGCCCTGGAGGATGAGGGACGACAGTCCTCACCTTGCTAGTCCCAGCCCTACAGACACCAGACACCTCAGCTACGGAGACCTCAGGACCGCTTCGCACAGACTCTGGCACTGAGCAGGCCACGGAGCCAGGACTCCTCCTCCGGGAACCCAGCAGAGTTTGCGGTCCCAGCCTCCGCCCTGGTCCTGGGGGGACAGAATGGGAGGCGACACACTGCAGTCGCATTGCTGAAGTGCCGGTGGTGGAGCGGCCTGGTACTCACTCCTGGGACCTGGACCCCTATTTATTATTTCTAAGTTATTTATTTACTTCTGTGGTTTGTCAGATCCTTTCCTGGGCAGTGGAGGCTGGATGGGTAGAAGCAGCTGGCTGGAGATCATGCCCCGACCTTCCCACTCACCACTGCAGGCTGACTCAGCAATCCCAGGCCTGGCCATCCGGCATCTCCAGCTGCTTCCTCTAACCAGCAGCGCTGGGAAGTGGGGCCATGGCACACAGAGTGGGTGGCCAAGGTTCACTCACCAGTCCTGGCAGGCTGGCTTACGACCCCTTGCACTGTCCCCAGCACTTGGGACTTGGGGCTTCTGGTAGAGAAAGCCCAACCCTTGTGACCTCAGGCATCCTGGGGGCCTTGCTTCATGGGTAACGATACAGAAAACCACACATTACCACACCCCAGGCACTGATCAATCAGTGCCCTACCCTCAGGGCACTCTGACAGGAGTATTCACTGCCTCTGATTGCAGATGGTCCAGTATGGCGAGCTCACCACCCACATTGCATGAAGCAATCCAGGGCAAGAGAGCATCTGAAAAGGCCAGTGGGAGGCTAGGTTGGGGGGACGAAGCGCAGAGCATCAAAGGGCTAGGAATGCAGGAAAAGACTGAGGGCCCCGAGAGGGACCTGCATCTTGGGTGATGAACAAGACATTCATTTATTCATTCTACAAATATTTATTAAGTATCTCTCATATGTCAGACTCTGGGTAGACATCAGGGACACAGAAGAGAAGGGGCCATGAGCTCTGCCCTAAGGTTAAACTAGGAGAGACTGACATTAAATAATTACATAAATAATTATTTAAATGCAGCTTGGCAAAGAGTATGAGAAGGGACAAGAAGCTAAGAGTCACACACCTTCATCGGGAAGGGGGAAGAGGTTAATGCTGACCCTGGCCTTCCACACTGTCCCTGAGTCACCTCCAAAAAGGCAGTGCAATCCCTCTAAGTGTCTCTGCATGTCCCACAAAACCTTGTTTCCTGGGTCGTATTCGTTTGTCCTGGGTGGTTTTCTCCTTTGGGAATACGATGGGGGTGTGTATTTGGAAAGGATGCTGAGTCTGAGGAACCATGGGACACCCAGAGGGGCGGTCAGGAGGCAGTGAGCTATGCTGGTCTGGGACTGAAGAGGGAGATTTGGGCTGGAGGCCGTTTGGGCAGCTGTGAGCACAGAGGCAGTAGCTGCAGCCAGGGTGCACGAGAGCATCATGAGAGTGAGGCGGGTCCGGGTGGGATCCCTCCGGCATTTGACACTGCTGACCAACATTGCTTCCAGACTGCCCACGTGCCTGCCTGAGGGCTGTGCTCATTCTGGGTCAAGGAGGAGAAAGCTGTGCTTCCACTCTTCTGTGTTCACTGCCCCAGTTCTAGGTGCTCCCCAAACGTTGGTGCGCTCTTGCTACCCTCACACACCCCCTTGGTCCCTCTACCTCCAAACTGATTCAGGATCCTCAGTCTCCAAACACCCTTGCAACTCCCAACCCCCGCAAAGAAAATGGCACTAGTGCCACACAGTTGACACACACCTCCTTGGCCCTGGTTGAGGGTAAAGGGGGACATCCTGTTAATTCCAGGGTCAGTGGGGCCAGGGAGCCCTGCTGGAAAGACTTGAACGCTTGGCCTAGTTCCCATATCCCCCAACCCCCGCCCCTCAGTGCCACTTAAGGAGACAGACTAAAGCCATCTCTGACAATGCTCACAGCAAGAGGCAGGTCTGAACCCAAGCCAAAGGTGCTGGCTCGCAACATCCCCGAATTGCCAGTTCTTGAGGGAGTAGGGTCCCCCCAACTCAAGGCTACATTGTGGACACCAGGGAGATTGTACCCAACATCTCACAAAGTCCCAGATGAAATGGCAACATCTCCAAGAGGAACATTCCCACAGAGCTAGTCTGTTTGCAGCTCACCACAACTCAAATCCCTCTTTTAAACAAGACACAAAATAATAAAGCCATTTTCCCCAAAGAAAACAGAGCTGCACTAAAAAAAGAAAGAAAGAAAGAAAGAAAACAGAGCTGCACTTCTTTTCATACAATTCAGCAGAGGGCACCTGGCACCTGACCTCACCAGGCAGAGAACTTCCACCCCGGGGGCCACAGGTGGCTTTAGTGTCTCCATTTTCAACTGTAGTCTTTGTTTTACTTTCAAAACGACATGGCCCATTTGAGTGGCCCTCCCAGAACAACGGTACGGTCTCCTCCAAAGGGTATCAAGTCACTACCTCTTGTAAGACAGAGAACTACAAACCTCTTTGACGTGACTGTTTCTCCACTTCAGGGAGCAACCAAAACTGTCCTCTAGATTTATTTCATTCAAGAATCAAGGTTCAGCGTTCCGTGTGCTCCTTCCACCCTTGCCAATTGCTTCTCCTCTCTTGCCCCGGGACTGCCGTTTTCCCCGGCTGAAGACCCCTGTGATTGAATGTGTGTGGACTGGGTGACTGAGGTCTCATCTTGAAAAGCATAAGATGCGTAGAAAGTTGAGAGATCAGAGAACAATCTAGAATTGTGCCATATGAGATCACCTTTCTTGTTCACAGGAGTGCTTCTTAACCTGTTTTGGAGTTGGAGAATCCTTAGAGAATATGATAAAAGCCAAGGATCTTCCGCTACCCCCCACAAAAAAAGAAAAGAAAAGAAAAGAAATGCTTGAAAACCTCTGATGTGGAGATCTGGTAAACAATTTTAGGGGGTTCACAGATGCTGCAGCTCATTCAAATTCCTTAGGAGTTGCCCAGCCAGCGTAGCTCAGTGGTTGAGTGTCGAACTATGAACCAGGAGGTCACAGTTGGATTCCTGGTCAGGGCACATGCCCGGGTTGCAGGCTCGATCCCCAGTGTGCGACCTGCAGTCGATCAATGATTCCCTCTCATCACTGATGTTTCTATCTGTCTCTCCCTCTCCCTTCCTCACTAAAATCAGTAAAAATATATTTTAAAAAAACATTCCTGCCCTAACTGGTTTGGCTTAGTGGATAGAGCGTCGGCCTGCGGACTGAAGGGTCACAGGTTCGATTCCAATCAATGGCATGTACCTTGGTTGCAGGCACATCCCCAGTAGGGGGTGTGCAGGAGGCAGCTGGTTGATGTTTCTCTCTCATTGATGTTTCTAACTCTCTATCCCTCTCCCTTCCTCTCTGTAAAAAATCAATAAAATATATTTTTAAAAAATTCCCCAAATTAGGCGTCCATGGCCCTTGAGGTGTCATACTCTGTTCTAGATACTATCATTAGTGTCCTCCTGTAGCTAAAATAATTCCTCCATCTGTAGTCAGGACTCCATATCAGGGCACTCGGTCTCAATTATTTACAAGCCTCCCCATTCTTCAACCTTTTAAAATTGAATATCTCCTTTCCCTCTTACTTTAAACCTGCTCAAATAAAACCCAGCATTAAATAAAACTGACACTGTGAAAGTATATATATACTGTCCTCCTTCACCAAAAGAGCCCTTGCTGGGGTCACCCGTGACCTCATCATTACTAAACCCAATGGCTACGTCTCAGCCTTGTCCTCTGAACTCTCAGACGTACTCCAATTTGTCATCCCTCCTTGAACACCTGTCTCCCATCGACTGTCTTGAGCCCATACCCTCTTTTCCTTCTGTCCCTCCAGCTGCTCATTCTCAGGCGACGCCTGGCCTTCTTTTCCTCTCTCTGCCTCGCAAGTGTTCCTCGAGGCTTTGATCTAGGCCGTCCTCTCTTCCCATTCTACTCTCTCCCTGAGCAACATTATCTACCCCCATGATTTCAGTTACCACTTCCATGCCGACGGTGGTTACATTATATCTCCGGCCTGGACCTTTCTCCTGAGCGCCAAGTCCATCTTTCCAATACTTCTGTCTAACTATCCTCTGAAAACTCAAACTTAACATATTTGTCCTGGAAATCTTCTGTTCTCTCCTTCAGATTCACTCTCCACACTTTTCTACACATCCATGATATCCCCTGCTTACAGCTTCCAAACCCCCTCCAGTGCGCCCCTGTGTGTGAATGGCACCAACTTCCATCCACGGATACAAGCCAGACACTTGGGAAACATCCTAGACTCCCTGAGCTCGGTCACTTCCCATTAGTCCCCAGATCTTTAGATCTCACAAAACCATCCTCTATTATGTTGAAGCCTTAATATTTGGGGAATGGTTTCTTGCTCATCCTCCTGTCTGGTCTGTTTCCAGTCTCAACCCTGTAGCCAGAGAAGTCACTATTTTTTTATTTTATTTTATTTTTTTACCATTAATTGAGCACTAACTGTAATGCATTGGGCTAGTTATGGGAATTCAGAGGTCAGCCAGAAACATGTTCTGCCATGAAGGAGACCATAGTTGGAGGTGGAGGAAGGGTGTTAAGCTTGGCAAATTAAAATATAGGATATCCAGTTAAACTTGAACTTCAGATAAACAATAAACACTTTTTAAAATCAGTGTGCCTCGTGCAATAGATTATATTCAAATTTAACTGGGTGTCCTGTATTTTTTCTGGAAACCCTAGGTGAGGGTAAACAGGTAAAAAAAGTGCAACTAGCCATCATAAGTCCCCCAATGGAAGTATGACTAGGGTAATGTAAGTCAGGGTGGGCAAGGATTCTACCTGAAAGGGGACGAAGAGCCACAGAAGTCTTCATGGAGTAGAGTAGGTGGCACTTGAACCAAGCCTTGAAAAATTAAATATTTGCACAAGGTGGATGAGGGACATTGGGCCTTTACTGGTTATCCTTCATCACCTCATTGCCTCTCAGCTATAAATTCGCCCTTTTCACTGACCATACCCTGTCTACCAAGGTCTGGATCTCAGCCTTGGACAGGGTTATGGATGAGGGCCTTCCTTATCTCTTGTCTCAGCCCCAAGATTCTACTGCTCCTAAATTCTTTAGAGTTCTTTTCACTCCTTACCAGCCAATCCCTCTTTACCTCAATGCCCTGTTACAGTTCAAAATTCTTATATTAAACTGTCCCATGCCCTAGCCAGCTTGGCTCAGTGGATAGAGCATCAGCCTTCGGACTGAAGGGTCCCAGGTTCGATTCCAGCCAAGGGCACATGCCTGGGTTGCAGGCTCAATCCCCAGAGGGGGGTGTGCAGGAGGCAACCAATCAATGATTCTCTCTCATCACTGATGTTTCTATCTCTCTTTCTCCCTTCCTCTCTGAAATCAATAAAGAAATATACTTTAAAAAAAAACAAAACAAAAACTGTCCCTGTGTACTTACTGGGTGGTTTCTCCTAATTGGCCCCAACCTGACACAGAGCCTTCTCAGCAGAGGCAGTAGCATGGACAAAGGCAGGGAAATGTGGCACAGCCTGGTGTGTCCCAGGATAGCCAGCGGTTTCACATAGAATTGGAGTAAGGCCCTCATCAAGACAAAACGGCTGAGAGATTATGAAGGTCCTTGCATGCTATACTAAGGAGCTTGGACTTTGTCCTGAGAGGAGCCACTGAAGGCTTTTAAGTGGGATTGGCTAGAGATGTGTTTCAGATGGATCATTGGCTGCTGTGTCTGATATGAACTAGAAGGGGTAAGACAGTGGACACCAGTTACAGCTGCTACAATGAAAACTGTTCAGGAAACAAATGCTGGTCTTGATCTAGAGCAGAAGCAGTGTGGAAGGACAGAAGAGATGTGAGACTCAATAAACCGGACTTGGTGATGGACTGGTTGTGAGGGCTTGATGACAGGGAGAGTTTCCAAGGCTCTCGCTTGGGTGGCTGGTAAGGAACTTAGGGGATGTAGAATTTTTAGCATGTGGTGGGAGTAAGGTGGGAGGGGGAGGTCATGAGTTCAACTTGAGGTGTCTAGGACACCTTCAGAGGGCAAGGAACCTGGTGGCAGCTGGATATGAGGGTTGGGAATTCAGAAAAGTCTGGGCAAGAGAGACCTGGGCAGCACAGCTCAAAGCCAAAGGAGTAGTGAGATATTGATGAAGAAGAGGAGAAGCAGAGGACAAAGCCTGGAGAACCAGCGTTTAAGGAACAGGGAGAGGGAGAGGGGCAAGCCTGTGAAGGAGACCAAAACGAGCATGAGAGTAGTAGAAAAGAAAAGAAAACAGAACAGGGCCAAATGCAGCAGAAAAATCAAGTCACACAAGCACTGAAACTGCCCATTGGGTTTTCTTGCAACATGGTAGCCTAGGGACTCAGGCTAACCTTTCTGCTGAAAACAACTAAAAATATTAGACAAAATATATATTTTAAAAGTTTAATGCATCTATGAACTGGAAAACACAAGAAATATTCAGGCTAATAATCTATACTAATAATAGAGGAATATGCAAATTGTCCAGGACACCATCACAGTAATAGTAATGACCAAACAGCAGGCTGTGTGGGGCGACCAAGCCGGTGGGGGGGGGGGCAGTTGGGGGCGAACAGGCCGGCGGGGGTGGGGGGTGCAGTGAGGGGCGACCAGGCTGGCAGGGAATGGCAGTTGGGGGCAACCAGGACGGCAGGGGGGCAGTTAGGGGCAACCAGGCCATCAGGGGGACAGTGAAGGGCAACCAGGCCAGTGGGGGGGCAGTGAAGGGCAATCAGGCCAGTGGGGGGGGGCAGTTGGGGGCAACCAGGCCGTCAGGGGGGGCAGTTAGGGGCGATCAGGCAGGCACACAGGTGAGCAGTTAGGAGCCAGCTGTCCTGGATTATGAGAGGGATGTCCTGGGGATCGGGCCTAAGCCAGCAGTCGGACGTCCCCCTGAGGGGTCCCGGATTGGAGAGGGTGCAGGCTGGGCTGAGGGGATGCCCCCCCCTCCTGTGCAGGAATTTCATGCACTGGGCCTCTAGTAATAATAAATGAAAGTAGGAAGCTTAGTAGTTGGCTTTCACCTTGAGGGCATGTTTTTTTTTTTCTTAGATAAAAAATATTTAATCTACCTTCCCTGTACATTATTGATGTGCTAATTAATATGCAATATGACAATACAGTGAGGGCATGTTTCTTACCTGGTGAACCTGAGCATTGGCTTGTGAGGGCTCCTGAGCTTATGGCATCTACCCAGAAACTTCTCCATAAGGCCAGGACCCCAAAGGCCATGCCCACACTTAAGGATGAAATAGAAATAAATCGGCCCACTCCTCTACCTAACCTCTCTCCCTCAAACCTGGGGACTACAGAGAAAATTGCCTTTATTTCACCTTGGTGCTAAGTGGAAGCGGGAAACCTTCCCTGAGAATGCTTAACTATAAGCACTCCTTTTTTGGTTTTGCAGACCAAATTCACACTATTTTGGAAGGCTGAAAAACTTCAAACTGAGAAGTTAATTTGTCGTAGATACAGCTTTAGAATGCTCTCTCCTGAATCTGAGGACCCGTCCCAGGGTTGTCACAGGTTCTGGCTCCTATATATCCTACTCCTGTCCCTTAGAAGAGCCCGTGTCATTCTCCACTTGGCTCTAAGTCAGTGGTTCTCAACCTTCCTAATGCCATGACCCTTTAATACAGTTTCTCATGTTGTGGTGACCCCCGATTTCATTGTTACAAATTGAACATAATTAAAGCATAGTGATTAATCACAAAAACAATATGTAATTATATATGTGTTTTCCGATGGTCTTAGGCGACCCCTGTGAAAGGGTCGTTCGACCCCCAAAAGGGCTGCGACCCACAGGTTGAGAACCGCTGCTCTAAGTTATCCTGGAATGCTATCCACATCTTAGATGTCCCTTTTGGTCTGGCACCCCAACGTATCTCCAACATCCCCAGGCTTATTTTCTTCCTTTTTTCTTTTTTAAAATATATTTTATTGATTTTCCACAGAGAGGAAGGGAGAGGGATAGAGAGTCAGAAACATCAATGAGAGAGAAACATCGATCAGCTGCCTCCTGCACACCCCCCACTGGGGATGTGCCCACAACCAAGGTACATGCCCTTGACTGGAATCGAACCTGGGACACTTGAGTCCACAGGCTGACGCTCTATCCACTGAGCCAAACCGGTCAGGGTCCAGGCCTATTTTCAATTGTCCTAGGTGGTGTTTGTGAAACATGTTCAGGAGCCACTGTTAATGAGATTGGCAGTTTTCTCTCCAGGGGAGCCCCAGGGATGAGGAGAGTCCTGGATTGGAAGCAGGAAGAAAACTAACATTCACCTAATTGTCGCCTTTAGGTCCAGCTCTATTCATACACCATCTCAGTTTTTCCTTCACCGGAGGAATTACCGTTCTCATTTTTATTTTTACTTAGAGAGAGAGAGAGAGAGAGAGATTTGTTGTTCCACTTATTTATGCATTCATTGGTTGATTCCTGACCAAGGATTGAATTCATAACCTTGGTGTATCGGGATGACACTCTATCAGCGGTTCTCAACCTGTGGTTCGCGACCCCTTTGGGGTCGAACGACCCTTTCACAGGGGTCGCCTAAGACCATCCTGCATATCAGATATTTACATTACGATTCATAACAGTAGCAACATTACAGTTATGAAGTAGCAACGAAAATAATTTTATGGTTGAGTCACAACATGAGGAACTGTATTTAAAGGGCCAGAAGGTTGAGAACCACTAACTAATTAAGCTACTCAGCCAGGGCTTGTTGTCAATCTTTTAAAGTGAGTTTCAGAAGAAGTCAAGGTCTATGGCTAGAAAGAGGCAAAGACGGGTTTTGAACATAGGCCCAAGTCCTGTAACCCTCCCCCTCGGCCTCCTTCTGGCACAGTGAAATCTCCAGTCCGCATCAGAGCCATGGCATTTCACAGCCCTAGGCACAGACCTGGAATCAGTTACTTTATTTTGGCCTTCCTGCTTCCTCCTTCCAAATCTCCCCTACTTCTACTCTTTCCTCCTTCAATTTATCCTACATACTACAGGTAGACTTTTCTAAAATGCAAATCCAGTCGTCAACGCCCAGTTGAAATCCCATGACTGCTTCATATTGCATTTAGGATAAAGTCTAAACTCATTCAAATGCCTACTGCTCCCAACTTGTCTTTCGAACCTCACCTGTTACTCATCCCTCCCTCTTCCTCACCTCACCTATATCCCCTTAGGCCAGTGGTTCTCAACCTTCCTAATGTCATGACCCTTTAATACAGTTCCTCATGTTGTGGTGACCCCCAATGTCATTGCTACAAATTGAACATGATTAATCACAAAAACAGTATGTAATTATATATGTGTTTTCCGATGGTCTTAGGCGACCCCTGTGAAAGGGTCGTTCGACCGCCAAAGGGGTCGCGACCCACAGGTTGAGAACCACTGCCTTAGACTGAACACAGATTACTAGCTGTACTTTAAACATTTTCTTGATAAAGATTTGTTGTGACTGGATTCCACCTGGACTTTGCTAACCCGCTAATTGAGCACCCCCTCCCCCATTCAAGTTTCTCCTCCTCAGGGAAGCCTTCCTCTGCTTTCTCAGGCCTAGGTGGCTATTGCCAATGCTATTTTCCTCCATTGAACACAGGTATTAGAGGTCCTCTCCACTAGCCCCCTCCGGGGTAGCTGGCAAGAGTTAATAAAAGGATACGTGATGCCCTGGCTGGTGTGGCTCAGTTGGTTGGCCGTCGTGAGTGCACCAAGAAGTTGCTGGTTTGATTCCCGGCCAGGGCACAGGCCAGGGTTGCTGGCTCTATCCCCGATAGGGGGCGTGCAGGAGGCCGCCTATCAATGTTTCACTCTCACATCAATGTTTCTTCTCTCTCTCTCTCTCTCTCATCAATAAAATTTTTTTTTTTTTAAGGAAAAAGTACAAGTGGTAAAGAAAAGGGACTGCTGGGGTCTGCCCCTGAGCATATCTATTGGCGATCTCTGATACCCTGAGTGTCCAGGGCCAAGATGAGGTCCACTTTCCCCAACCTGTTTCCTCATCTGAAAATGGTGCATAAAATTCCCCGCCTTGTAGTTGTTGAGAACTGATGAGTAAGGGTATGCAAAGTACTGTTCGTAGCACTTAGGTGTGAGCTGGTCTTATTCTAATTACACATCAATAGAAGTTGCTTCCAAGAACCTTATGAAATTCTCCGAGCACTGTCCATGGTATGTGGTTCCCTGGTTGCTCACTGGGTGGTTCCGAGAGCCGTCCTTCTCCTTCCTGAGGCGCACCGAGCCTCCTTTCTTCTCCTAGTACTGACGCCTCCTTCCACCCGGCCCCGTTCCTGGGCCTCCGGGTGCACCCGCAGCGGAGCACCAGAGCGACCGATCCTCCACACCGCCCCCCGCCTCGCCCCCAACACACACACCTTTTCCTCCGACCTGGGCTCCCACCTCCAGCCATCCGCCCCAGAGTCACACACTCCTAAGGAGCTGCTTCCCCGCCAGTTTGACTGGGAGTGCCTGTCGGCCCTGGTAAGCCTGGGGCTCCCGGGGCCCCGCGGTGCCCCAGCCCACGTGCTCCCGGCCTCCGCCGCGAGGCGCCGCCCTCCCGCTAGGCGCAGTATAGACTACATTTCCCAGGGTGCGTAGCGACGGGACCTTGGCTCGGCGGGGGCCTCGAGCGGCGCGCCGCTCCGTCGCCTGATCAGGGGCGCGAGGGCTGGCACGAGGACAGGCCCAAAGACCCGGAATGAGTTTCCGCGCAGTTCCGCTGGGCCGAGCCGGGCGGTGCCGGGCCGGTCGGGTCAGGGCAGGCGCGGGGGAGGGTCGGCGCCTGAGTCGGCGGTGCCGGGAACAGGCGCTCGGGGCAGCCCGCGCCTCGCTGAGGTCCCCGCCCCGTCCCGGCCGGGCCGGCTAGCCTGTCAGTCACTGGGGCGGAGGCAGCGGCGGTAGCGGGGCCGGAGCCGGGCGGTGAGAAGAGTGAGGGCCGGGCCCAGCGGAGGGGATCTGCCACCGCCCCTCAACATTACGGACTCTTCGCCCCAGAGTGTCGATGCTGCACCTCCGCGCTTCGTTGGAACGCCTTCCGTAACCCGCCAAGGGCTCTCTCTCTCTCGTGACCTCCCACCCCAGTGACCTCCTCGTAGGACCCGGGAGCGCACTCCGACGAGGGTGTTGTGGGTACAGGCCATCGACCCTGTGACCTCTCACGGGCTGGGGCTCGGTTTCCCCCACAGGCCTCCCTCCCCTATGACTTCCTCCTCGTAGATTCTGGAAACAGAGTCGTGACCTACCACTGGGACCCCCGCCTGAGAACTCCTCCCTGAGGGCTCCCCCTCGGCACCCCACTCAGTGGATCTCCTCCTAAGACCACCCCTTTTGGTTTCTGGCCAGCCCCCTCCCCCCCAGTCGAGGTGGGGAGGCCTCGGCAGCCATGCCCATCCTGGGTCCCCTGTCACCACACCACTCCCTGGGCCCTCAAGCCGGGGTCTAGCCAGGGGGCCGGCAGCCAAGGGGCTGGGGCAGGAGTCAGGTCAGGGTCCCCCTCCCTGCTGGGGAGGAGCCGAGATGGACCGGCGGGAGGAGCAGCCGGGGGCTGCAGGGGCTGGAGCAGCACCAGCCTTGGACTTCACTGTGGAGAACGTGGAGAAGGTATGAGGGCCCCGGGGTGGGCACTCCGGTGACAGAGCAGAAGTTCTGGGCACCGATGCGAAGGCCAGAGCCCAGGCCTGGGCTGGGTGCCCGCTGGGCTGGTGCCCCCAGGACACCTGGCATTTGCTGTCTCGGGGCAGGCAGGACAGCAGTGTTAACAGTGTCGTAAGGGGCTGTATGTGGCTTTCCTCAGACATGGGTCCTCTGTGGAGACATACTCGGGTGTCTGTTGGCTTAGACCTGCAGCCAGGCTGGCTGTTCTCCAGCTCCAGTGCAGTGGGAACCCAGGAACCCAGGAGACCTGCGGCTCAGTCCCCAGGAACCATGCCGATGCTGAGCCGTCTTGGACCCTCTTTGTTGAGCCAGGGGCTCAGAAAATAAGCGGGGACTAAAACAGTCTGGGTTGTTTTCAGCCTCTCTTGGAGAAGGGTCCTTCCTTGATTGGACGAAGGCGGGCAGGAGCCTTGCTGGGCCCCCTTTGTTTTGCGCTGGGTCCCAGGGGTCTGGTTCTGCTGGCAGCCTCAGGGTTCTTTTCTACCCACCTGCCCATTAAGCTTCCTGCCAACGCCCTCCCAGACTGCCCAGTCCATCTCTTTTGGACACTACTTCTCTGGTTCTCTTCTGGGTTCGCCCACAGAGGCCTGGAGTGCAGAATGACCTCCTCCACCCCCCAGGATTAATGGGGAGGTGGGGCTGCCCTGATGGGAAATGAGGAATAGCTGCGGATACTCATTTGTTACTCTGGAGCCCTGTTTGCCATACCCAGCGGTGAGGATGCGTCCCTTCGGCTTCTGTTCTCTGCCTCCTGGAGCAGCCAAACAGCAACAGTGGCTGTAACTGGCGGTCAGAGGGACAGATAGGGCTAAGCCTACTTGGATGGGGACTGCTGAGGCCGCCAGAGGCCTGGTCTCACTCTTCCACCCCATGGGGCTGGGCAGTGTTGGCATGGTGGTGCACTGTTCCGTGTGCTACCAGGGAGATAAACCTCTATTTTCTTGCTGTGTGAAGTCCCAAGGGAATGGGGACCCTGGGGATTCAGCTAGTTGAGAATTCCAGGCTGGGCACTTGCCAGGGCAGCAGGCTAAGACTTCTCTGGACCAGTTCTGTGGATCTTCCAGGCGCTCTATGAGGGCTTTTCTCATCCCCTTCTCCACTTTGTTTCTGCACAAGGGCTGCCTGGCAAAGTCTTAGTCCTTCTCAGATTTCACACTGGCTGTGGTGCCAGCATCTGGAGTGACCTAGGGATGATCCTGGGGGAGCTAAATGGAGCTTTTGGAGTTGATTGGAACAGCTGTGCCTGGGAGGGTCAGGGCCCCTCAGGCTGTTTCATGTTCTTCTCAGGCTTAGCTTCATCCCTGTGGAGCCATTCCTTCCACCTGGGCCTTGCCCTTTACCTCACATGCCTCCCCTTTGATGAGCTCAGCCTCCTCTTTGTGTGTGTATGTGTGTGTGTGTGCGCTATCCTGTGGAGGTTCACTCTTTGAATCCATAATGTTTTGCTATAAGGAGAAGAGGATATAGTAGAGCATGAAGAAAGTTCAGGTTCTCAAAATATGGCAGGACCCTGGGCCCAGGAAACTGCAGAGCCCTGAGCTCTCCCTTTCTGTTCAGGCCCCCCCAAGTCAGAAAGAGAGAGCGGTATTGCGGGACCAAATCACACCCTGTTTTCTGGGCTCTGGCAGGATCCAGGGTGGCCAGCACCTGCTCAATCCTGTGCTGTCCTGCAGGCGCTGCACCAGCTCTACTACGACCCCAACATTGAGAACAAGAACCTGGCTCAGAAGTGGCTGATGCAGGCCCAGGTCTCCCCACAGGCCTGGCACTTCAGCTGGCAGTTACTACAGCCTGACAAGGTGCCTGAGATCCAGTACTTTGGGGCCAGTGCCCTGCACATCAAGATCTCTCGCTACTGGAGTGACATCCCCACTGACCAATATGAAAGTCTGAAGGCGCAGCTCTTCACTCAGATCACTCGCTTTGCCAGTGGTTCCAAGATTGTGCTGACTCGGCTGTGTGTGGCGCTGGCCTCGTTAGCTCTCAGCATGATGCCTGACGCTTGGCCATGTGCTGTGGCAGATATGGTACGACTCTTCCAGGCTGAAGACTCACCGGTGGATGGCCAGGGGCGCTGCCTGGCTCTGCTGGAGCTGCTGACAGTGCTGCCTGAGGAATTTCAGACCAGCCGCCTGCCCCAGTATCGCAAAGGCCTGGTGCGGGCCAGCCTGGCCGTGGAGTGTGGGGCTGTCTTCCCGTTGCTGGAGCAGCTGCTGCAGCAGCCCAGCTCACCCAGCTGTGTGCGTCAAAAGGTACTCAAGTGCTTTTCCAGCTGGGTGCAGCTGGAGGTGCCGTTGCAGGACTGTGAGGCTCTCATTCAGGCCGCCTTCGCTGCTCTGCAGGACTCAGAGCTCTTCGACAGCAGTGTGGAGGCCATTGTCAATGCCATCTCACAGCCTGATGCCCAGAGGTGAGCTGGTCCCCACCTTCCCAGAGTGGGGCAGTCTGCTTGGCCATCCATGCATCTATCCACCCATCTGTTCAGTAAACACTATTTGAGTGCCTACTGCATGCATGGTCCTATGCTGGAGATACAGCAGGGAACCAATCAAGACATGGTTCCTGTCCCATGGTTCAGAGAGGGAGACAGACAGACACTAGACAACTAACCATCCAATGAATTATTCAGTTAAAATAGTTGACTCTCTTTTTTCTCTCAGCCAAGTTCTGGCTGTTCTGCCCCTGACCGTATTGCAAATCTATTTTTTCCATTTCCACTGCCACCACTCTAGTTCAAGCTGTCATCACCTCTCCCCAGGTTATTGTAGAGCTTTCTCGCTAATCCCCTGGTTTTTACTCTTGTACCCTCCCTTCATTGTCCACCCAGCAGCCAGAGTGATCTTTTGAAAATGAGTATGCAATATTTCCTTTCTGCTCAGAACCCTTCTGTGGCTTCTCACTGCTCATAGGGGAAAGGTCAGGGTCCTTCATTTGATTCACAGAGGTGCTGCACAATATGACATCTCTAGCCTCATCTCAGAACCCTTCTGTGGCTTCTCACTGCTCATAGGGGCAAGTTCAGGGTCCTTCATTTGATTCACAGAGGTGCTGCACAATATGACATCTCTAGCCTCATCTCATGCCGATCTCCTTGCTTTCTTCACTCTCACAGTCCTCTCAATTCCTTGAATGTCCCATGCTCCTTCCAGGCTCTGAACCATCGCATGTACTTGACACATCACTTCTGTCTCAGTTTAAACTTCACGTTCTTCATGATTTTTAAGACTAAGTTTGGTGTTTTCTATTCTTTTTATCTCAGAGCTCCCAGTGTTTTTCCTTCTTAGTCCATAACATGGTTTCATTATAAATTAATGTGTATCTCCCCATTAGCCTCTCAGCGCTGTGAGGAAGGCACTCTGTCATTTTATTTGGTCATATTGTGCCTGCAGCACTTGGTAGCATTCAATATTTTTTGAACAGATGAAAAGTAGGAGCTGCCAAAGTGACAAGGGGTGGAAGAGGTTGGGGGAGTAGGGAATGTTACAAGCTTCAGAAACAACAGCAGGTGCAAAGACCTGTGTCGGACACACCATGCACATTCAAGGACTCAGAAGAAAATGAGAGTAGTAAGGTGTTCAGCAAACATTTGCTGTGCACCTGTTTGTGCATTGGGCCCTGTAGTGAGGACTAGGAGCATAAAGATAAATGAGTTGATTTTTGCAAGTCAGGAGCTCATAACCTAGTAGATACATGAATGGGCAAGTATAGTCAACGTGATGAATACTCTAATGGAGAGAGCAGAGGGGCTGTAAGAACCAAGTCTGTGGGTTGTGAAGGGCTGCCCAGAAAAGGTGACAACTGAGTTATTCTTTGAAGGCTATGTAAGAGTTAGTCAGATGGAGGTGATGGATATGGCGAGGACATTTCAGACAGATGACGGGTATGACTAGACAGCAGGGTTTAAGGGCCGGTTATAGGAGATCTGGGCCCAGATCATGTAGGACCTTATCAGCCTTAATCTTGTCAGTTTAAGATTTCAGTTTCCATCCTGAGGATGATGTAAAGATATGAAAGGATTTTAAGCAGAGAAAATGGCATGATGAGATTTTTGGAATAAGGTGAATTGGCCGGGGGAAGACTGGAGGCCTGACACTAACATTTCAGAGATGGGACTTTGGGAACCCCTGGCAGAATTGGAGGGGAAAATAACACTGAACGAGACAGCATAGGGGAGTGGTTAATGGCACTAGCCTTGGCAGTTCATCACATCTGAGCTTGAATCCCAGACGGTCCATCTACTAGATCTGAGACCTTGGGTAAACCTGTTTCTTCATTAGTAAAATGTATGTGATCATACTGACCTCACAGAGTTTTAATTATTTAACTAGAATAATGTACACAGGGCCTGTCCCTGGTATTCTGTAAAGAATATTTTGTTATGAGGATTAAATAAGAGGAGGTCTGTGAAAGGCCTAGCATGGTTCTTGTGTACTCCAGAAACGGCATTTGCTAGTATTTAGTATCATTGTTGCATTAGCAGTTACTATGACGCCTTTCCCCTGGTTTCCCACGTTTTCAACTTAAGGTGGGTAGCAAGTCTCAGGTCAAGGCCTTCCTTGGAAGCCAGAGCTCAAGTGCTGGCTAGGCTCAGACAGTTGGGTCAGGGGAATTGGCCAGGGCCAGTGCCTGGGTGATGTGGGATGTCCTTACACCCAGGTTTACCCGCCCAGCCAGTCTCTAGGGCTTGGCAGGTAATTGATGCCTCTTCTTCTATGAACCAATGAGCAAGCAAGAAGCCAGTGAGAAAGCACACAGCCTCCAAAGTGCCTATTGGCTGCAGTTCCCTTTGTTGCTTAGCAACTCTTCCCCTTTTCAGTTCTGCTCCTGGATCTGTAATTGCAGGTCTGGGCTGAGCTCAGTGTGAGTGGCAGCTAAGGAGTCCCAGCAGCCCTGCCCCAGCAGCTCCAGCTAACGAACTGCAATCAGCCCACTTGAACCCAGTCTCAGCCATGGCACTAAAGACATCCTCTCTTATCTCCCTCCCCAAACTTTAGGGGCTTTGGGTGTGCTTTCCTGTCTACTCACAAGTCTCAGGCACAGGTGCCCAGGGATAAGAAATCTATGCAAGAGTTTCCCCAGTGGGTGGGCTGCACCCAGCTTGGAGTTTGAGTTTGGACCTTGCTGTGTTGTAGTCTTAGTTTCTTAGCTTTGGCTTGAGAAAGTCACCTTCAGTGGTTTTGACTTCTGGGTCATCCATCCACCGCCTCACCCAGGTTTCCTGACATCAGCCCTCCCCTTGACTAAGCTTGTACTTGCCACCCTTTTCCCTCTCCTCCACAACTGCTGCTACTTGCCTGACTCTCCTTTGAAATGCCCCCCCCCCCCAATATGTTTTTAATTCTGGAAAAGCTTTTCATTGGTGACTGGGGGAGGAGAGAAGGTGAGTTGGGCTTTTGGAAGCCCCCATCAGTTAGGACTTGAGATATGGGCTGAGATCAGTATAGATCCTTTGAGGAAATTCAGGTTGGACCCTGAAAGAGATGTAGACCTACAGCAGTATAAGGGCCTTTCTCAGCCTGGAACCTATCTCTAACTTGCTATATGACCTTGAGTAATACTCTGAGTCCTTCTGGGCTATATTGTCCTTGATTTATCTTATTATAAAGCTCAGATAAGAGAAATTAAGAAAATTATTGAGGACCTATTGTATACAAGAATTTTGGCAGGTGTGAGCAGCTTTGGAATGCAGTGGGAGTGCTAGGGGGCAGGGCACTACCTCCTGCCCCCATCTCAGCAGCTGGGAACTCAGGGATCTTGGCCTTGGCCCTGCCCCTGCTCTTTGTGCCAGATCTGGCCTGAAGGTGCCCATTGTCTGGTGGTACAGCCTGTGTCAGGGTCATGAGACTGAAGCTATCCCAGCTGTCTCTAGGCAGCGCCCTCTGGGGCTGTCTCTGGTCTGAGATATCCTGGTATGGACGTCTTATCTCACCAAAAGGGGTGTGTGGAGAAGACCAACATATTGGACTGGTTGCCTCTGTCCACATTTTACCCCTAAGGTTATTAGGTTACTTACCTAACAACCTGCTTGAGGCAAGTCCATGTTGAACTCCTGGGCACGCAGTTTCTCCCTACCTCGTCTCCATAGATTGGTATGGTGACGGCATGATTGACAGCAGAGGAGTCCCAAGCATCTGATTCCCCGATGAGAGTGTCACTCACTTCCTCTGTTTAATCTTGTCTCCACAGAGCAGGCTACTGGGGAGGAGACCAGTGGGAGGGAGCTAGCCTTCTCTCAGTCTCTTTTGTGTACTGTGCTTCCTCTGCCCCTCCTTTAGGGTCCTCTGCCCCTCCTTTAGGGGTCATTGTGCTTCTGGGCTCTGACCTGGACGTCTTCTCTCATTCAACACTTTCTTCCTGAGCAGTTCTCATTTACTCCTATAACCTCAATTACCAGCTCTTCTCTGATGACTCCAACATCTATGTCTCTTGCTCTAACCTCTCTGTTGAGTTTCATGTTTTTATAGCCAACTCTCTGGACACTTCTACCTGCATATCTCATCAGGTACCTCTGATTCAACATGCCTAACACTGAACTTACTGCCCTCAGCCTCTCATTAAATTTGGTACTGTCCCTCTCCACCCACCCCTCCAGGACTATAGTCCTACTATCTACCTGGTTGTTTAGTCAGTAACCTGAGGGTTTTCCCTGACTCTTTCCCATCTTCACATCCAGTTAATCATCAAGTCCTGTTCACTTTGCCCTAGCTCTCGCTGAGTTCATCATCTGCTTTCCCTTCTTACTGCTACCAGATTATATAGGAGTCAGGGTTTGGTAGGGGGTGAAGTGGAAAATGGGGATTGATGCTTGTAGGAGCTGTTGCTGCCTTTTAAAGTCTTTAACATGGTTCCTGTTAACTCTTCTATCTCCCATCCTTTCCAGTCTCCCCAAACAGTATCTGTGTTTGTTTCTTAGACCTACTGTCATAAAGTACCACACACTGGGTAAACAACAGAAATTTACTGTCTCACACTTGTAGAGGCTAGAGGTCTGAAATCAAGGTATCAGCTCCCTCTGAAACCTATAGGAGATTCCTTCCTTGCCTCCTCTTAGCTTCTGGTGGTTTGCTGGCAACCTTTGGTATTCCTTGGCATGAGCTGTATAACTCCCATCTCTGCCTTTGTTATCACATGTCATTCTCCCTGTAGGCCTCAGTCTTCACATGGATGCCTTCTTTTAAGGATACCAGTCATATTAGGAGCCCCCCTACTCTGTGACCTTATCTGCATTGACCCTATTTCCAAATAAGATTACATTCTGAGGTACTAGGAACTAGAGGGTAAGACTTATTCAATCTCCCCCAAAGTCTTAATGCATTCCAGCATCAATTCTAATAGGAAGATACAATTCAACCCATAATACTGACCTTATACTTCCTTTCCAGAGTTTTCCTGGAGGTCTCTGACCTAAGCTTCTTCCTAACATGGGCAGCTGCCATGTAGGCCCTGATCTCTCTTTTGCTTTGGAGTTGATGTGAGGAGGGGGACTTGAATGGAAAACTGGGCGAATGTACCTTTCTTTCAAATCTGGTGAGGGATGGGCAGACAGCTCTGATGCGTCTCCTCCCCTCATGCCTCCAGGTATGTGAACACACTCCTGAAACTCATCCCACTGGTGCTGGGACTGCAGGAGCAACTGCGACAGGCAGTGCAGAATGGGGACATGGAGACCTCCCATGGCATCTGTCGCATTGCTGTGGCCCTGGGCGAGAACCACTCTCGGTGAGGAGTGGAGCAGCTGGGGATGGGATAGCAGGGCACTGTAAGGAGGGGAGGTTATGGCGCCTTCTTGAGTGACCTTCTATATCTCCTTCCTCCAAGGGCCTTGCTTGACCAAGTGGAGCACTGGCAGAGCTTCCTGGCCCTTGTCAACATGATCATGTTCTGCACGGGTATCCCTGGCCACTATCCTGTCAATGAGACCACCAGCTCCCTGACACTCACCTTCTGGTATACACTGCAGGTGTGTCTATGTGACCTCCAGTAGGAGGGGGCCATGATGGAAGAAGGTGGCTAATGGGCTTCTGTGGCTGCTGGTGAGGTGGCTAATACTCTTCCCTGGCTCTCAGGATGACATTCTGTCCTTTGAGGCAGAGAAGCAGGCTGTGTACCAGCAAGTGTACAGGCCAGTCTACTTCCAGCTGGTGGATGTGCTTCTGCACAAGGCCCAGTTCCCTCCTGATGAGGAATATGGATTCTGGTCCTCAGATGAGAAGGAGCAGTTCCGAATTTACAGGTGATGGTAGCAGGTCAATCCTAGCTCTAAGTGGAGTCCTGAAATAATGAAGGCAATGAGGGGAGGGGCCCAAGCACAGGCTTCCTGAATCCTGGGGCTCCTTTCTCTATTTTCTAGGTACTTTTACATGGTTGTGAGGTTACCAGGGTGGGTTCCTGGGCTTGGGGGCAAGATCCAGGCTGTGTACAAGGTCTTCATCTGCTTCTCAGGGTGGACATCTCAGACACGCTCATGTATGTTTATGAAATGCTGGGGGCCGAGCTGCTCAGCAACCTCTATGACAAGCTGGGCCGTTTGCTCACCAGCTCAGAGGAGCCCTACTCCTGGCAGGTACCCCTCAAGCCTGATTCCCTCAGCCCTCCTAGATCTGTCGCACCCTGCTCTTCGGCCAAGCCAGTGGCACCCTCTTTCCCCAGCACACAGAAGCCCTGCTCTATGGCTTCCAATCCATCGCAGAGACCATTGATGTCAACTATTCTGATGTGGTGCCTGGGCTCATTGGCCTCATCCCACGGATCAGCATCAGCAACGTGCAGCTGGCGGATACCGTCATGTTCACCATTGGTGAGACCTGGTACACACCCATGAGCACATTCTAGAGCCATAGGCACCCATCCCCTGCTACAGCCAGCCTCCTGGGTCCCATCCAAAATGAGAGATACACATGGCCACACACACAGTTGGTTTTGCAGCCCACTAACTGTCCTGGCACATGTAAGGGTCCTTCCTAGTGAGTGTACTGAGCTGCAGTTCAGTGAGGCTAGTCCTGCTTCTCAGCTTTAAGGATCATGTTTGATCATGTGCATGCATATTTGCCCATTCAGTCCTCTGAATGAACAGTGCTCTGTATTGGGGCTGCAACTCGACCCTGCCCGGCAGCTCTGCCTGCCTCACAGGGACATGGTCTGCCTCAACTATCCTTTCCTCTCTCTCTCTCCCTTCTTCCTCCAGGAGCTCTGTCTGAATGGCTGGCTGACCACCCCGTCATGATCAACAGCGTTCTTCCCCTTGTACTGCACGCCCTAGGCAATCCTGAGCTCTCTGTCTCTTCTGTGTCCACCCTCAAAAAGATCTGCCGAGAATGCAAGTATGACCTGCCACCCTATGCTGCCAACATCGTGGCAGTCTCCCAGGTATGCAGGGGCCCCGGGAGGACCTGGGCCTCAGGCACACTCTGCACTGCTCTGATACAGTATTTCTTCTTTTTATCCCTAGGATGTGCTAATGAAACAGATCCACAAGGTGAGCTCAAAAGTTTCTAGGGGGCTCCCTGGGGATATTGCAGGAACCCACAGAAATCCTGTCTTCTGCCTTGTTCTTTACTCTCTGTTCTTGGAAGCTTTCCAGTTGGTTCATTCTCCCATCCACAACCAGATGTATCCAGGACTGACCCTCCATCTTCTGTCCCACAGACAAGTCAGTGCATGTGGCTGATGCAGGCATTGGGCTTCCTGCTGTCAGCCCTGCAGGTGGAGGAGATCCTTAAGAACCTGCACTCGCTCATCTCGCCCTATATCCAGCAGCTGGAGAAGCTGGCAGAGGAGATAGTGAGTGAGAGCTGGTGTGTGTGTGTGTGTGTGTGTGTGTGTGGCCAGGGAGGAGCAGGGGTGGGATTCTGGGGCTACCCTTTGTGTAGATTATGCTGCTGAGGGATAGGGTTGGAGCTGGCAGCCAGGGCTGGGGCCAGGGGGCCAAGCTGGGACTGGAAGATCCAGAACTTGGTTCTCTTCTCCCCACAGCCTAATCCCTCCAACAAGCTGGCCATTGTCCACATCTTGGGGCTTCTCTCCAACCTCTTCACCACGCTGGATGTCAGTCATCATGAGGATGATCATGAAGGCTCTGAGCTCCGGAAGCTGCCAGTGCCGCAGGGACCCAACCCCGTGGGTGATGTTGTCATTGCCATTGCCCCCACCTCCCAACCCTGTGGGAATGTCATTGTCACCTCCAATTCTATGGGTAATATTGTCATTGTCCCCTGTGGCATGATGCATTTGGTCCTGTGAACGATCTTATCATTGCCTCCCTCTCTCTGGGGAGTGATGTCATTATCTCACCCTGTGGGTGGTGTCTTTGTCCCCAGCCCAACTAGGATGATGTCATTGTGGTTCCCCACCCCATAACGGACACTGACATTATCTTTCAACCCCTAAGTGATGTGATTATGGGCCCCTGTTTAACCCCTAATTCCAGGGCCTTTCTACTTCAGCATTCACTGTTCCCTGTGGGCACCAAGGATGCTTACGGCACATGCTCTGCATGTAATAGTTTTTACCTTCGAGTTGCTCCCAATGTAGAGGAAATACATGTAAACAGATTGTCACAAAGCAGTGTGATAAATGCTGTGGTAAGCTCGGGCAGGCACAGGGTGTTGGGTGGCCACTATAAGCTATTTGATCTGGGGCAAGCTTTAGCTTCCCACTCAAAACTGTGAACATCAGAATATTGGCTTGCTCATCTCATAGAACTGTTGGGTAGCAGATATGGTCTTGAGCGAAAGTACTCTGCATACTGTGAAGTTTTGTACAAATGTGATGGACTGCTTTGATCATTGTTCCCTGTACCCCCTTTAGTGTGTCTCCTGAAGAGAAGGGAGCCACAGTGTCCTGGCCCCTCTGCTCAACTCCCCACCCTAGTTTCAGTTACTCTTTGGCTCCAGATTAAATCTCTGCCACAGAGCCCCTTCTATGGTAGTCATCATCCTGCCTTCCCTCACCTCCCAGGACCTCATTCTGCGCTCTGCTCCTGCATAAGCTGCCCGTATTATGCATCCCTTGGGCTGTCTACTCTAAGCCTATCTAGGGCAAGCCTGTAGGCTTTTGGCACTAAGAGTTTTACTGAGCAGAAATAGAGAAGAAGTTGCAAAGTTTTAGTAATCTTTTTTTTCTTCTTTCCTCTTTTTTTTTTTTTTGTCCCATCACCATTTATCCCCTGTATACCTTCCTCACCTCCACCGACTCAATACCCCTTACAATTTAGTAATCTTATAAAGCACTCATAATATCCCTGCTTTACAATTTGAGGCTTCTTCTAAGAGGATCCCTAGTACTCAAATATCCTCTTTCATTCATAGTGCATTGAGCAAACACTCCTTCTGCCAGGGTCCCATGCATTGAATCTTCAATACGCAGTCTGGGGTAATAGGTTTGAATTTGAACTCCTGGCCTACTTCCTGCTACCAGGTCCTTCTCCAGTGGGTGACAGTGGTTGTGGGGGCATCTTCTTCCTGTGTCTGCAGGTGGTAGTGGTGCTGCAGCAGGTCTTCCAGCTTATCCAGAAGGTGCTGAGCAAGTGGCTGAATGATGCCCAGGTGGTGGAGGTGAGCCCCAACCCTTGCTCTCTGCCCCATGGTGCCTTTTCTCAGAGGTGGAGCAGGAGGAAGGTATTGCTGCCCCTCTTAAGCCTGCGATGGTCTTGAGGAAATAAAGGAGGCAAATCCTTTTCCATAGATACATGGAATCCTCTGGGAAGGCATTCAGAACTTCCCAGTATCACAGGAAATGCTCAACCAAAGGACTATGATGTGGCTGAGTGACAGCCAGGGATCCACTTTCGCATCAGAGACCTGCCTTTGGTCTCTTTTTAACTCAGGATTTTGTTGCTGTTGCTGCTCCCTGAGAGGAAATAGTGGAGATGTGAGTAGGAAGAGTTACAGAGTTCCATCTGTGCCCCTCTGAAAAGGGCCTTTTTGCCTCCTGCCTTTCAGGGTGAGGGTGAGACTTCCTTACCTTCCTTGGTTCGCAGAGCCAGGCAAGGCTCATAGGTAAGGGCCCCTTCCAGGCCTCCTCTGTGCCAGGCCTCCATTCTGTTCCAGCCTATTGTGACTTGCTGACCAGGGCCCCTTTTCTTTTTCTTTTTTTTCAATTGAAATATATATGGCATATAACAATGTGTAAATTTAAGGTCTACAACATATTAATTTGATACATTTCTATATTGTAACATGATAAAATTGCCATTATAGCCATAATTAGCTCCTCTGTCGTGTCACATAATTAGCATTTCTTTTTAGTAGTTAGAATAATTAAGATCTAGTGTCTTAGCAAATTTGATGATTATAATACAATATTTTTTTCTCTTTCATGGGCCCCTTTGCTTCCCCCCAAGGCGGTGTGCGCTATTTTCGAGAAGTCTGTTAAGACGCTATTGGATGACTTTGCCCCCATGGTGCCACAGCTGTGTGAGATGCTGGGTCGGATGTACAGCACCATCCCCCAGGCCTCTGCTCTTGACCTCACTCGACAGGTGGGCCTTCTGATTGGGACAACAGTCTTCTGGATTTCATCCTAATTAGAGATCTGTCTGACCAGGATGGGGTAGGTGGGTGGAGTGGGTTGATGATTGCCCTGCCAGAGGTCCTCACCTGCATTCCAGGGATGCAGGGCCTCAGCTGACCAGCATTCCTTGCTTTGTTGTAGCTGGTCCACATCTTTGCCCACGAGCCTGCCCACTTTCCCCCAATCGAGGCCCTCTTCCTGCTCGTCACCTCCGTCACACTCACTCTCTTCCAGCAAGGTAGGTCCTGACCAGGGTCTCTGCTGCCGCCGCCACTGCCACTGCCTCTGCTTCCCTGACTGGGGAGCCAAAGCTGCCACTATGTTCTCCTCTGTCCCCTGAGTTGCACATGGGACTTGATGGGAAACTTACGGGATCAAGCACAGCATAATTGTCAACCTTGCAAATAGTTGACACCTTAGATTGAAGTGGATAAGAGAGTGAATGATGTCTTCTACTGGCCTGCTGGGCTAAGGGCCAGTCTGGATGATGGGAAAGATGGGGCCAGAAGCTCTGAGGGGCTTGGGTACCAGGCTGGCTCCTTTTCTTTGGGATATAATGAAAAGTAGAAAGAGCATGGGCTTTGAAATCAGGCACACCTAGATTCTAAGCTCATCACCACCAACTAGTTGTGTGACCTTGGGCAAGTCACTTACCTTTGTAGAGCCTTTGTTTCCATATCTGTGAAATGGAGATTTCTTATATTTGATAGGATTATTGTGGGCATTAAGTAGCATCTTTTGGGCCTTTGGCTTGGGGCTTTTACACATAAAGTTTATTCCCTTCCAGGCCAAAAGCCTATGGCTGTGGTCCCACCCCCTGTCCCCATTCACTGGCCCTTAGCCTGAGAGAATTGGCAAAAGGGAGCTCCAAGCTTCCCCTGCTGTCTAATCAGGCTTCTAACTTGGAAATGAAACTCACTGCTCTCCAGCAGCCTCATGAATCGTGCCTGGACTCGTGGTTGCAGGATTGAGGCTCACCAAGGGTCTCAGCTGGAGCCAGAGTGCTCTCTGCTTGTGTCCTTGGTGTCTGGTCACATGACACTGGCCTCTGCTGTGGTGGGCTCTGGGTAGGTCCAAAGTGTGGAGAGAGCTGAGCCAGAAGGCCAGATGTGGGTATCCTCAACTCTACTCCTTTCACTCCTCCTATCTAGTTGGAGACAAGTCTTGGTGGTCCTGCCCCCTATTATCCCACAGTCTGTCCCCTGCTCCCCACCCTCTATGTCCAAAGTCTCGGTATAGGGTGTCCGGATTACCTCAACAATTTTCTGACTGGTTTTCCTGGCATCTGCCCTTCTCTCCAATCCATTCTGCACCCTGCAGCTGTAATGTTCTTTATAAAACACAAATCTGAGCATTTTCCCTCCCTGGCTTAAAACCCTTTCATTGCTCCCAATTGCCCTCATCCCATTCCTACCCACATGGTGTAGCGCCTGCATACCTCTCGCCGTCCTCTCCTCCCAGTGTCCCCATGACTCCAGCTGTCCAGCCACACTGACTCTTCCCTTATCATGTCCCGTTTGATCCCTATGCCTTGCTCCCTTTCAGGAGTACCCTAAGCTCTTTTACTGGGTGAGCTCGCATTCCTTCACACCTTACCCATGCATCATTCCTCAGAAGCTTCTCTGAATCTAACTTCCTGCTGAAACTGCATCATGTACACACTGTTGATACAGCGCCAGTTACACTCAATAATCAGTCTTCACGTCTGTCACTCTCCCTCTCCCTAAACTAAGCCCCTGAAGGACAAGGCTAGGTCTCTTCTCTCTGCATCCCCAGTGTCCAGAATGAGGCCAGCATGGAGCAGGTACCAGACACTGTTAAAGAAAGGAGGGTGAGGGCTCCCTGACCTCAGAATCTTTCTCCTTCACTGTCTGGCCCAAGCCAGCAGGGCGACTGTTGAATATCAAACCTATTGTCTGCAGTGTGACCCATGCATGGGGCACATCAGGCCTCACTTTCCAGGACTTGAGTAACTCGGGGTTCAGATGTGAAAGGGGCGGGCTTTATCAGTGGCCTGGAGAAGGAAACAAGGAAGAGATTATTATCTGCTTTACAGTGGGGAAACCAAGTGTTTGTGGCTTGCGCAAGATCACACAGCTCCTTAGTGGTGTCTCAGGCAGGTGTTCCTGCAGTGTCTGCAACTGAGAGGGGAGTGGCCTGGGCAGGAGCTCCAGACGCATGCCGTGTCCTTGCCACAGTTATCAGAACTGGAGGCAGAATAGTGTCCAGCATCCTATTTGTTGGACTTGTTTTTTGTCTTGCTGGACAGGATGGTCCCCTCACCTGTATGCTGTCCCAGTTTTGCCCTCCCTTCCTCGGGCTCTGCCCTCCACTGCACCATGGGGCGACACGTTAACTGGGTTCCCTTCGTCATGTGGGCTGGTGGTGGGAGCTGGTCCTCAGCTTGAGCCTGGCTCTCTGCTGAGGCCTTGTCCATGTGGAGGGGCTTTGCTGGGTGGGACTTTCATTTTTGGCCTCAAGAGGCAGTCTCCTTCCCTAGGCCCTGCCAATGGGTTGCCTGGCCATCCCCACTGCATATTGGGCACTGCCCTCCCCAAGAAGGAGCCCTCTGGTTTAAGTGGACCCAGTAGGTTCCCTTCCTTGGCCAGACCAAGAGCACTAAGGCCATTGAAGTGAGGGGGAACCCACTCAGGTTCTGTTCCCTGGCCATTTCAGGGCCTTCAGCCAGTCTCCAAGAACCAACCAGCTCTGCCCTCCTGTCGGATGGCTAGTGATGGGGAAGCAGCTTAGGGCCACCCCAAACTGCCAGAAGCCGAAGCAAGAATTCAGGGGCTGTTTCTTCAGCTCTGTGGAGTCCAGCATTGTTCCAGCACCACAGGACAACTTGGGGGACTGACCTAGAGGAGCGGGGAGTAGGTGGAAGGCCCCTTGGGAGGGAACTGGGGCAGGCCCGTCCTTCACTTTGCCGTCTCTTTCTGTTGGGCTTCTCCCAGTTCATGGTTTTTGTATGTTTTGTTTCTTTATCTTGCTTCCTGCTGCTCATGTGCCCCCACGCTGTCTCCCTGCAGGCTCTCAGTCCCACATAACTATATGAGGTTGAGTTGCTGTTTGTATAATTTTTTCTTAAGTTCCATCTTTATTATATTTTAGGGCCCAGGGATCATCCTGATATTGTTGATTCATTTATGCAACTCCTGGCACAGGTGTGTTTTAGTTTTATTCATTCACGTTCTGTTCTCTCTCTTTCTCTTTCTCTTATGTTGAAATTCAATTTAAGCCTATTTTTAGCTTTCTGTTGACAAATTTTTTTTCTGTTCAGTTGAATAGAGTTTCTTCATCTGTTTCCGTGGAAGTTGACAACCCAACATCCTCCTTTAGTGCCCCTTTGCCTCAGCTAGCTCAGTCTTCTACAAAGACCAGGGAGAGGCTGACCCCGAAGGGAGGCAGTGGGCTGGCCTGGTGGGGGTTGGGAAAGGAGGGGGTGGTCACTGTGCCCAGCAGCTCCTGTGCGGCTGGGGTGCCCAAGAAGTTCAGGGGTAGAACTGAAGTTCAAGGGCCTGGGGTTCATTGTCCCCGTGCTCCTGCCGGGAACTGCCTGCCTCAGTGCCTCCAGCCTACTCTTGAGAGGTAGGCTCCGAAGGGAGGGGCTGAGATGAATGTGCTTCCATGGAGCCCAGAGCCCAGAGCCGGGCTGCTGGACAGGTTGTGCTGCTTCTGGGAGGCGGGGTGCTGGCTCCACTGTGAGACTGTGTTAGGTTGTATGTGTGTATAAGTGTGTCGGAACTTTGTATGTTTTGAGTTTGGTTTGGTGAGAACAGAAATCATGTAACTGCTGTAAGTAGTATGAGTATTATGTTGGATTTGTAGTTGACATGTGGATATGTGTGTTGGTGTGTGTTTTATGTTGATGTGTGTTAGGCATTGATGGATTTTGAATGTTGATATGTGTTGGAGGCATGTGCATGTTGGGCTGTGGGAATGTGTATTATGGAGGATAGGTATATATATTGTGGTATCGGTAGGTCTGTATTAGGGTATGTGTGTTTTGGAAAAGGTATGTATTGGGCTGTGGGAATGTGAGGTTAGCATATGGGAGTTCTGTGTGTTAGGGGGCTTCTGCAGGTTGGGGGGGTCCTGTGGGTAAAGGTAAATAATGTGGGGGTTTTTATTAATCATTCCACAAATATTTATTGTGTAATACATGCTTGATACTCTGCTAGGTGCTGAGGATATAATGGTGCGCAAAAGCGGCACGGTTCTAACTGTTTTGTAACTTACAGTTTGCTTGGGGGGCAGGGTAAAAGGCGTGGGGAATAGGGAGTGTTCTGGGCCTGGATGAATAGATGTGTGGGTATCTGTGAGGGTGTATCTTTGTGGGTGAGGGTGTTTGAGTGTGTATTTGTGGATGGATGTGTTGAGAGAGTACACGTGCTGGAAGATTGATAGATTGAGGGTGTGGGTGTGGAGCTGGTTTGGGGATGTGGCAGTTTGAGTGTGTGAATATGAAGTGAGGGTGCGTTGCAAATGTGGGGAGTGTGTGTGTGTGTAAGGGAAGTGTGTTTGAGGGTGAGTAGGGTGTTTCCATGAGGATGCGTGTGAGTGAATATGGCAGACTGGAAGGTATGTGAGGGGCTGGAGAGTTAGGGGACTGTGTGTTATGCCTTCGGAGGCTGCTGGGGAACAGCAGCATTTGATGACTGCTGGAGTTGTGCAGAGCATCTCCTGTGACCTGGGGATGTGCCAGTCATGTCCTGGTACCACTTGGGGCGGGCTCTCTGCCCCCTGTACTCCATCCATTCCCCCACATGGCAACACGGATCCTGGGCTGGGTATGGCTGTGATGGCCCTGGACACAGGGTATCCTAGGTAAAAGGTAGGGCCATGGCTCCAAGGCTCCTACTCTAGTTTTCCTCTTTCTGATCTAAAGGGTGTCTGGGGAGTGACAGGACATGGGAGGAGGCTGTTGGACTGTGTTCCACATCCAGTTGCCATCTCTTCTTCCTGCTGCTCTGTTAATAAATACAGAGGGCCTAAACTGCCTCTATGAATCAAGAGAAATCCCTGCTGGTACTTGAGCCTGCAGGAATCTGGCCCTGATGGAGGGGAGAGGGGAAGGTGTTTGCTCAGGGAGTAACTTGGGACCCAAGCTATCTATCTGCCTTACGACCTCCCACCTCTCTCATATACACTGTGCATTCATATACACGTACATGTACACAGCATTCCTTGGCTGCTCCTCTCCTGGCTTCTGGAACTCTGGGATGGTTTGTGTCCCCAGAGATGGCTGGGTAGTTGGTTTTGACAGCATCTACCTGTGGTGCGTGAAGTTGGGCCCTGGGGTGGCAGGTGAGTGGGGGGGTGGTCTTTGCAGCTGGCTGGGGCTGGGCTTACCAGCTCCACCTCCTGCAGGCTCTGAAGCGGAAGCCAGATTTGTTCCTGTGTGAACGGTTGGATGTCAAAGCTGTGTTCCAGTGTGGTAAGTGGGGTAGTTGGACAAGTAGGCCTGGGGCCCCCTTGGGAGGATCCTCAGGCTCTATCTGATCTGCTTCTGCCTCTCCCACAGCTGTGCTGGCCCTCAAGTTCCCTGAGGCACCTACTGTCAAGGCCTCCTGTGGCTTCTTTGTGAGTCCCATGCTGCCCCTGACCCCCCCCCTCCCCCAACCCCTGGGACTCCAGAGGGTAGGGGTGTGGTATACTGAAGGAGCTGGGCTGACAGGCCTCTTTATCCTCTGCAGACAGAGCTACTGCCTCGATGTGGGGAAGTAGAACCCGTGGGAAAGGTAGTACAGGAGGATGGCCGTATGCTGCTCATAGCAGTGCTGGAGGTGAGATGGAGCAGGGGGGCGCTTGATGTGGGTACGGTAGCCCTTGCTTCTGTGGCAGCTGCCCTTTTGGGAATCTTGAGCCTTTGGTTCCATAAACTCTCTGATTCTGTTTTTTCCTCATTTAAATGTCTGAAAGTTGTCAGAGTTGGCTCTCAAAAAGCAGCACTCACTTGTCATATGCAGTTGGGCAGAGGAACTGTCTGAGGGGGTGGGGGTGGGGGGGCATGCCCTTGCTGCAGAAAGGACAGGCCCTGGTACTGAGAACCTGTCTTCCTCAGGCCATTGGGGGCCAAGCCTCCCGCAGCCTCATGGACTGCTTTGCCGACATCCTATTTGCTCTGAACAAACACTGCTTCAGCCTCCTGAGCATGTGGATCAAGGAGGCACTGCAGCCACCTGGTTTTCCCTCTGCCCGCCTCAGCCCTGAACAGAAGGACACCTTCAGCCAGCAGATCCTTCGGTGAGCAGAGCTGGTGGGGCCTGGGCTCAGGTCTGAAAGAGAAGATGAAGTAGTGGTGGATGGTGCTAACCTGGTCTCCCTTCTCTCCTTCAGCGAGCGAGTGAACAAGAGGCGGGTAAAGGAGATGGTGAAGGAGTTCACACTGTTGTGCAGGGGACTACATGGCACAGATTACACAGCCGACTACTGAGGGGCGTTCCCGTCCCACCCACTCCTCACTCCTCCCTATCCCCAAAGAGTAAACCTGGACCCTCACTGCACCATTGTCGCTGCTTCCTTTCTACTGCCATCGCCACCTAACTGGATGACCCAGAACGCCTGGGATGAGGATGGGAGGATGCTTGGACCCGGGCCTTGATAGGGACTGGTAGAGCCAACCTCCAGCTCCTAGGGTGGGAGAGATACTGCCAGAGCCACTCAGAATGTTGCCATTGCTCTTGGGGTGGGATGGGGATTGCAGTAGTATCAGCACCCTCTCCCCTTTAAATTAGTTCCATGTTCATGAATACATACATTTATTTAATCAACAGTGTTGAGTACTGAGTCCCTAGTTCTGCCTTGTTCTGTCTAAACAAAGGCTGATCTAGTCTATACTTAACCATGCTAAGCTGGGAGAATGGGACCATGAAGGCTGCATGAAAGAAGTTTTATTTTATTTTTAAGTGTTTTTATTGATTTATAGAGAGAGAGGAAAGGAGAGGGAGAGAGAGAAACATCAGTAAGAGAGAAACATCATCAATCATTGATCAGCTGCCTCCTGTATACCTCCTGGGGATCAAGCCCTCAACCCGGGCATGTGCCCTGACCAGGAATTGAACTGTAACCTCTGGTTTCATGGGTCAATGCTCAACCACTGAGCCATTCCTGCTGGGCTATTTCTTTAAAAAAAATTATTTTTATTGATTTCAGAAAGGAAGGGAGAGGGAGAGAGATAGAAACATCAGTGATCAGAGAGAATCGTTGATTAGCTGCCTCCTGCATGCCCCCCACTGGGGATTGAGCCTGCAACCCAGGCATGTGCCCTGACCGTGACCTCCTAGTTCATAGATTGTTGCTCAACCACTCAACCATGCTGGCTGGGCAGGAAGTTTTATTTCTGATATAAATGGGAGGCTTCTGAGGTAGAGGACTTGGGACTTAGGCTGGGTCTAGTTGGGAGGGAAGAATTGGAGAGTGGCTTTGAGTTTCAGGATGGGTTTCTGGTGTGGGGTTATGGAGGCACCCAAACTTGTACATGGTTGGTGAGAGGTATAGAAAGTGGAACTGAGTATCTGTGGGAGGAGGCATTGCAGACCCCAGAGGAAAAGGAAGGCAGGACCTAATGTCTGTATACTCCTAAGTCCCCAACTCGATGGTCAGAGCTTGGTCAGCACCAGGGACAGCTCCTGTCACTTGCTCTCCCTTTGCAGGGTCCCCTTCCTTTCTGTCTCCTCAGTCACAGTTACATCTGGGCTGCCTCTCAGGCACCCCAGCCTTCTCCTCAGTGAGATCTGAGAATGGGCCTGGGTTCTCCCCACCCTGTCGTGAACCTGAGTCTCCTTAGAGATGATAGAACCGATTACTTTGATATTTCTTCCCCTGTTCTTTTCCCAACTTTTGCACAAATTCTGTGTCCATTCTTCATCCTCAATCAATCTCTTCCCATGCCAGCCGTTCATGTGCCATCCCCTGAGGCCACTCTGTCCCACTGCCCCTGCTCGAGTCTCACCTTACTCTTGATTTCTCAATTCTCTTCTCCTACTACATGCTAACCAGTGCTTCTTCCTCCTTTTCTGCCCCTCCCCCATGACCAGTGTAGCACATGAGCTAGGAGAATGAGAAGTCAAAAGCCCAGCTTCTGAAATCAGACCTAGGTTTGATAGATTGTGCCACTGACTTGCTGTGTCTTATTAGACAGACAGCTTCTTTGAATCCCAGCCTACTGACCTATAAAATGGGACAATTCTTACTCTAAAAACTGTAAACTCTGAGGATGTATAGTGCCTTGTGAACAGTAATACTCAATGTTTGCCTACCTGACCGACTGCGGGTAATAGCAATGCTTTCAGTAATATGCAAAGGACTACTTGTAAGGTTTTATGTCTAAATTGTTTAGACTCCCAACAGTCCTATTAGGAGTACTATTGCTACAAGCCCCATTCTGCAGATTAGGAGATAGCCATGGACAAGTTGGAGTTGCTCAAACTGGAGTAATTATTTTCAGGGAATGGGTGTTTCTCAGAGTGGGCAGTGGGCTGAACCAGAAAACTCCCTTCCTCTGGCGAGGAGGGCTAGAGGAACTACAATACCCACAAGGCTCCGCATCTCCCCCGGAAGTACTTCCGGTTGGCCTTGTGCTGTGAGGCCGATGGGCGGTTTGGTAGGCGACGATTGGGGAGCCGGAGCCGTGCTGGTTTGAGATTGGTAAATTGCTATCAGCCCCGCCTCGAGACCCGGAAGTAATCTCCGGTTGGGTCATGTGTAGCGAGGAATGGGAGTTTTGGACACGCGACTAGCTGTTCCACTGCTGGTGGCCTGAGTCTCAAGCTCCCCGCGCTCATCAAAGGACTGTGACCCATTGAGGACGCGGAGGCCGAGGGATCCCCGCTGCTTCCCGCCACCTAAGCTGTACCTCATGGAGTCTACATTCAGCAGCTCTGCCGAGGCGGCGCTGCAGCGGGAGGCGGGGGCCGCGGGGCTGCTCACGCCTCTCGCGGACCTGGACCGAGTGTACGAGCTGCAGCGAGTCGTCGGGTTTGTCCGTGACCTGGCGTGCCAGCGGGTGAGGGCAGGTTGGGGAGGATGGCTCACCTCTCGGATGGGTCGCCCATAGGATGGGGTCTCGGGGTGATTTTGTGCGGATGGAGGGGGAGGGGGGTGAGGCGCTTCTCTGGGACGAGAGGCTTTGAAGGTTGGGTGGGTGGGGACTCCCGGAAGGTTTTCCTTGAAGAGACGACCCTCGGTGGAGGAGAGGCCGTTTCTGACTCCACGATTTATGCTTACAGGTGGCCTTGCAGTTCCCCGACCAACTGCTGGGAGATGCTGGGGTTGTGGCTGCACGACTGGAGGAGACCACGGGGTCGAAAATGTTCATTCTGGGGGACACAGCCTATGGCAGGTGTGACGTTGAGCTTCAGGACGGAGGCCTAGGGACCCAGGGTTTGTGGTGTTTTCCCGCCAGGACAGTGCCTGCCCCTAATGGCTCTGTTGCTCTTTGGTGATGCTTGATGACTGCCCTCCTCGCAGTGACGGCGTCTTTCCATCACATCGTTTTCTTCACCGACACGTTTCCCACTGATGACAGGAACTCTCCGGTGAAACCTTTCTCACCCCTGGCATCTCCCCTGCAGCTGCTGTGTGGATGTGCTGGGTGCGGAGCAAGCTGGAGCTCAGGCCCTTGTGCATTTCGGCCCTGCCTGCTTAAGCCCTCCAGCCCGCCCGCTGCCGGTGGCCTTCGTCTTCGGTCAGCGTCCTGTGGCCTTGGAGCTCTGCGCCCAAGCCTTCGAGGCCCAGAACCCGGACCCCACCGCCCCTGTGGCGCTGCTGAGCGAGCCGGCCTGCGCCCACGCCCTGGGTGAGGGGTTTTGCCTGGGCATGCAGGGAGGGGGGGTCCGCTATTTTGTTGCTCATTTTCCCGTTTCAGTACATCCCAGAGAGTTCTCACTGTGGGCTTGACCCCAGCCTTTGCCGTTGGGTCACACTCAGTCTTCTGGGGAACAGGGGAGCTCTTGTTTTGCCAGGCCCCAACCCTGACACCACTTCCTTCTTCCAGAGGCCTTGGCCACTCTCCTTCGCCCACGGTACGCGGACCTGCTTGTCGCCAGCCCAGCTCTTCCCCTGCCAGCGGGCTCCCTCAATACAGAGCCTGAACCCCTGCAGCGTTTTGGGCGTCGCTTCCCGCTGGCCCCAGGAAGGTGTCTGGAAGAGTATGATGCTTTCTATGTGGGAGGCTCTGGGGCCAGCTCTGACCCTGACCTCGATCCTGACCTGAGCCGGCTGCTCTTGGGCTGGGCACCAGAGCGGTCCTTCTCCTCCTGCTGCCCAGACACAGGGGGGACCCGTGATGAAGGTGCCCGGGCTGGGCGGCTAAGGGCACGTAGACGATATCTGGTAGAGAGGGCCAGAGATGCTCGCGTGGTGGGGCTGCTGGTGGGCACGCTGGGCGTGGCCCGACACCGGGAGGCACTGGCACACTTGCGGAACCTGACTCGGGCTGCCGGCAAGCATAGCTATGTGCTAGCTCTGGGGCGGCCCACACCTCCCAAGCTTGCCAACTTCCCTGAGGTGGATGTCTTTGTGCTGTTGGCCTGTCCTCTTGGTGCCTTAGCTCCCCAGCCTTCTGGTGGCTTCTTCCGGCCTGTATTGTCACCATGTGAGCTGGAGGCTGCCTGCAACCCTGCCTGGCCATCTCCAGGCCTGGCTCCCCACCTCACACACTACGCAGACTTGTTGCCTGGTGAGTGGTGGGGCACTGCCTGAGCTGGAAACAGGTGGGGCCTGGAATCAGGGCGCCAGTATGGATCATCTTTTTCCCTCCTAGGCTCTCCCTTCCACGTGCCCCTCCCGCCACCTGAATCGGAACTGTGGGACATCCCAGATGTGTCACTCATTACTGGGGAGCTTCGACCCCCGCCTGCTCGGAAGCCATCAAATGATCCTGGATGCTCAGCCCTGACCCCACGGCCTCAGCTGGAGCTGGTTGAGAGTAGCCCCGCAGGTAAGCGTGCCAAGTCTCCACTCCCATCGGAATTCTCCCGGATTCCGGCCACTCAGCTTCAGTCCCCTCTCTTTGCAGCCTCATTCCTTAGTTCTCGGAGCTGGCAAGGGCTGCAGCCTCAGCTGGGTCAGACACCAGTGACAGGAGTCGTAAGCGGAAGACGAGGAATTGCCATCGCCTATGAGGATGAGGGAAGCAGCTGATACCCTGTGGGGCCAGAGACACAGATGAACTTAAGGATCGCTGCTGACTCTTCTGGTCCCAGGTGCTGCAGGCTTCAGTGCAGATTTGGCCAAGCCCAGGAACCACACCATGCACAACCAGTTCCGAAAATGGCACAGAAAAGGCATCAGGAAGGAAATAGATCCAAAGTTCCTGAGAAACAGACGCTTTGCCGAAAAGCACAACAAGAAGAGGCACGTCAACAACACTCATGCCATGAGCACACGTGCCAAGGCTATCAAGGCCTTCATAAAGCCCAAGGAAGTCAAGCTGAGATCCCAGAGGGTCAGCTGCAAGCTCAGTCAACTTGTCTACATCATTCACCCCAAACTTGGGAAATGTGCTTGTGTCCCCATCACTAAGGGTCTCAGGTACTCCTGGCCAAAGGCCAAGGCAAGGCTTAAACCAAGCCTCAGGCTGCAGCTGCAGCTGCAACTCAGGCTTAGGCTCCCAAAGGTGCTCAGACCCCCATAAAGGCTCCACAGGAGTGGAGGCCTCTGTCTGCTGATGTGAGGACAGAGGACTGGTGTGACCCCTGGACTACTATCTGCATGGAACTAGTGTCCTCCTGTGCTATCTGTACAAATAAACCTGAGGCAAGAGCTCACTGCTAAGACCTTTTAGTGCTCCCTGTACCAGCCTCACCCCTCTGCCAGGATCCTTGAAGGAGCCTGGATGGAAGGAGAGGAGGCAGCCCCTCGCTAAAGATAGGATCCAGCTTTGTCTTGTACTGACACTGGCACACGGCTTAGCACATACTGGCTTAGCAACATGTTTGATGTTTGACTGATGGGGACTGATTTGGGGCATTCCTGGAGCCTTCTAGGCCCATCTGTTCTAGGAGCAGCCCAGGACCTCTGGCCAATCCCAGTTCCTGGTGTGCAGTTAAGGGTCTGTCCTTTTCAAAGGCAGGTTATAGATGGTCTAGACCAGGGTTTCTCAGCCTCCGCACAACTGATGTTTTGGGCCAGATAATTTTTTAAAATATATTTTTATTGATTTTTTTTATAGAGAGGAAGGGAGAGGGATAGAAAGTTTAAAACATCAACGAGAGAGAAACATCGATCAGCTGCCTCCTGCGCACCCCCACTGGGGATGTGCCCACAACCAAGGTACATGCCCTTGACCGGAATCAAACCTGGAACCCTTGAGTCCGGAGGCCGACGCTCCATCCACTGAGCCAAACCGGTTAGGGCAGTGATGGCGAACCTTTTGAGCTCGGCGTGTCAGCATTTTGAAAAACCCTAACTTAACTCTGGTGCCGTGTCACATATAGAAATTTTTTGATATTTACAACCATAGTAAAACAAAGATTTACATTTTTCATATTTATTTTAGATATTTAAATGCCATTTAACAAAGAAAAATCAACCAAAAAAATGAGTTCGCATGTCACATCTGACATGTGTGTCATAGGTTCGCCATCACTGGGCTAGGGCAAGGCCAGATAATTTTTATTGTGAGGGGCTATTCTGTGCTTTGTAGCATGTTCAGCATCATCCCTGATTTCTGCTCACTAGATGCCAGGAGCATACACTTCCTGATTGTGATAATCAAAACTATCTCCAGACACTGGCAAGTGTCCCCTCTGGAAGCAATTTGCCCCCAGTCAACTGGTCTATACTTGTGCTGTCCAGTATACCAGCTAGTTAAATTTTAAACAATGTAAGATTAAAAACTCAGTTTCCTGGTCACACTGACCACATTTCACTGCTCAGGTAGCCATGTAAGAGGACAGCGCAGCTATAGGACATTCCCATCTTCACGGAAAGTTCTGCTGGACAGTGCTGGTCTGTACTGACGCTGATTTGTTTCTCAGGGAGATTACAGAAACTTGAATAAATCAGATACTTTTTCTTCTGTTTCTTTTTACTCGTCAAACACTGCAGGTCCTGTGGTTGGAGATCTGAATTGTCTTTGAATTTCTGTCCTGTGTAAAACTGAAGAGAGGGGTTAAATAGACAGTCACCACACACTGAACCAGTACTCTGTGAGAAGGGAAGCCCACAGGGGCAGCTGGAGCCCAAAAGAGGCTTCTCAGAAGGGGTGATAAGCTGAATCACCTGGAGTTAAAAAGTAACAGGAGAGAAGGCGTGAAAAGGACACTTGGATAAAGGACACGCCATTCTTAAACCAGCATGGTGGGTGCTTTAGGCAGAGTGGAGTTGCTGGACCCTAAAGGTTGAGAGGGGTGAAGTGAAATAACTCACTTCTTCATTTCACGCATTTTCTGAGACTCTTGGCATATTGGCAATGTCCAGGGTGTTGAACATGTAACTTTCAGTATGTTAAAATCCATATCACTGTAGAGCAGCAGTTTTCAACCTGTGGGTCGCAACCCCTTTGGGGGTCGAACAACCCTTTCACAGGGGTCACCTAAGACCATCGGAAAACACATATATAATTACATATTGTTTTTGTGATTAATCACTATGCTTTATGTTCAATTTGTAACAATGAAATTGGGGGTCACCACAACATGAGGAACTGTATTAAAGGGTCGTGGCATTAGGAAGGTTGAGAACCACTGCTGTAGAGCAAACCAATACGTCAAAATCAAAAGGGATCAACCAGTTGACAAGATAGAATATATTGCAAATGTAGTGTAAGCACCTTTAAAATGTATGTATTGCCCTAGCCGATTTGGCTCAGTGGATAGAGCATCAGCCTAAGGACAGAAGGGTCCCAGGTTTGATTCCAGCCAAGGGCACATGCTGGAGGTTGTGGGCTCAATCCCCAGTAGGGGGTGTGCAGGAGGAATGGATCAATGATCCTCTCTCATCATTGATATTTCTCTCTCTCCCTCTCCCTTCCTCTCTAAAATCAATAAAAATATATTTATAAATAAGTAAAATGTATGTATAAAATAAACATTTGAGTGCAAAAAATAACATGTACAAAATAGGAACAAAGTAAGATTTAGAAGATGGTAAATGTGTAAATATATAACTTCAACACTTATAAAATGAATAAATTTTTGAAAATATTTTGTTATTGCATTTATTTTTATTTATTTTTATTGATTTCAGAGAGGAAGGGAGAGGGATAGAGAGAAACATCAATGATGAGAGAGAATCATTGATCAGCTGCTTCTTGCACGCCCCCTATTGGGGACCAAGCCTGCAATCTGGGCATGTGCCCTTGACCAGAATTGAGCCCAGAACCCCTTAGTCCTCAGGCTGATTGATGCTCTATTCACTGAGACAAACCAGCTACGGCGACTAGATATTCTTTTATTTTGTAAACTTAATAATTTTTAAACTCCAATACCCAAAACATTTCAGCATGTAATCAATAAAACAATTTTTTTCAATTACAGTTTACATATTTTGTGTTACGTTCCATGTGTACAGCATAGTAGTTAAGACAATGATATACTTTACAAAGTGTTCCCCCAAAAATTCAAGTACCCACGTGGCACCATACATAGTTGCTACAATATTATTGACTATATTCCCTATATGCTATACTTTACACCCCCTTGACTATTTTGTAACTACCAATTACAAATATGTATTGAGCCCACTGTGTGCCAGGCACTGGAAATACAACAGTGAGATCAAAACAGGATGGTCAGAGCAGGCCTTATGAAGAAGGTGAAAGAAGACTGAAAGGAAGTTACGGAGCGATTTACACGGATAAAAATTAGGAGAAGCAGAGAGAACAAGTGCAAGGTCAATGCGGTGAGGGTATGGCTGGTATGTTCAAGGGGTAGCAAGGATGCCCGTGCAGCCAGAGGAGTTGGTGGGGGCGTAATAGAGATGAAGTTCGGAACCACATTGGTGGAGGCCTCGTAAGCCATTGAAAGGACTATGGCTTTTAGAGTGGAACTGAGCCACTAGGGCATTTTAAAGAGAGTGACATGATCTTGCTGAAGTTTCTTAGGATCCCAGAGCAGGCGACCACCTTGCCTCAGGTTGCGGAAGGCTCCGGGAAGAACGATTTCTGAGCTCGGTAGCCGCTAGCCAGGCTCAGGGCGAGCCCTAAGCAGCGGGCGACAGGCAGAGGGAAGAGCTTGAGGAATGGAGCACAGCGCCCTAGCGGGACAGGGGTCCGCACTGGGTCGGAAGCCACGCTAGGGAGGCCCGCGGGCAGGCTCGGGTGCAAGGCAGGGCTGGACCGAGCAGGGCGGAGGGCGCCCGAGCCGCCTCTGCAGCGCGAAACTACACCAACCACAATGCTCAGCGCCGCGGTTCCGGCGTGGCGAGCACCAGACCGCCCGGGTCAGGTGGTGCCGGCGCGTCACGTGGGCGAGTCAGGTGACGGTGCGGGCGGCGGACTGGCTGCGGGGCGGACGGTGGACGCAGGGACGCGGCTTCAGCTCTGTCTCCACCGACCCGTGCCCCGCCGTCACCGCCGCCATGACGGGGCTAGCGCTCCTCTATGCCGGGGTCTTCGTGGCCTTCTGGGCCTGCATGATCGGCGTGGGTGAGGCCGGGCCCTGGCGGGCGGGGCCAGCACCCGGGCCGGGCGGGCCGGTCTGGAGCCCGGCGGGGGTCGTGGGGCCCCGGGGCCGCCGGGCTGCAGCGCGGGCTCTGTCCCCCGGGCTCCGGGAGTTGCCGCGCGCTCGTGGGGGCCTCTGACCCCGACCGAGGAGACCGATCTCCCGCTGCTGGAGGAGGGGCGCGGGCGGGGGTAGGTGGGGGCCGCCGAAGCAGCCCTGGTCGCGTTCGGTCGTCCCGCCCCCCTGTCCCGGCTCGCGGCTGTCGACCCCCTCTTGCTCCGGACCGGCCTGCTTGGGTCCTGAGCAGGCGGCTCCAGTTCCTCCTTTTCGGGTCGTTTAGCCACCCCAACCCCCACTCCCAGCTTGTTGGGGCAACAGCGGCGCGGACCGGGCTGGCGGGATCCGGTGGAGCTGGGCCAGAGCCCTTGCTCCCTCCCTTCTTCCAGGGAGTCCAGGCCTGCGAGCTGCTGCCCCGAAGGGTCTGGGTCTGGGAGGTGGTGTCACCGAGCGCGGTGTTCCTGAGGGAGTGGCAGGAAATGGAGGCCTGAGCAGAGGCATCTGTGCAGACAGCCGTGCTTTTGCGCGGGGCCCGCTTGACTTAGGTGTAGGCAGTCCTTTGAGGGGGCCCATCAGCTGGGCAGGAACTTCATATCTAAGTTGGGGAGCTTCTCTCTAGAGAGCAGCCCCTAACCCCTTTTTTTCCTCACTGCTGCAGGGATCTGCTACACCATTTTTGACCTGGGCTTCCGCTTTGATGTGGCATGGTAAGGGCGGGCAGGGAGAGGATTCCCCCAGGAGCTGCTGCTTGCAGCCTTCCTTCTCGAATTTGAGCCCCCTCCTCCTCCCCGTCCCCAGGTGCCTGGGGTGTGGACCTTTGGGAGATGAGGAGTCTTTTAGCAACCAGTACTGGTGGGGCAGGAGGTGTGGGGGAGTGAATTTGGTGCTCACTTCTCCACCAAGACCGAATTGCTTTCCTCCCTGTCTCCACCCCAGGTTCTTGACAGAGACTTCCCCCTTCATGTGGTCAAACCTGGGCATTGGCTTAGCTATCTCCCTGTCTGTGGTTGGGGCAGCGTGGTGAGTGTTGGGGTGGTGTGATTCGGGGGTGGGGATTGAGTCATAGCAGGTGGTGGTGCTGGGTCCTTAGTCACCCTGGGGGCACTGACAAGCTTCGCCTCTGCTCATTGGTCTCTTCTCCTTCCACCAGGGGCATCTATATTACTGGCTCATCCATCATTGGGGGAGGGGTGAAGGCCCCTCGGATCAAGACCAAGAACCTGGTCAGGTAAGTTAGGGCCCTTGGAAGGCTGTCAGAACCAGCTGCCTCGGGAGCTGCCCATTTGTTTGACTTGACATTCTGCTCCTGAGCAGCCTCCTGATAAGGTGGGATGCTGGTGGGGAAAGGTGACGGGGGGCTCTGTGAGGAGGAAGGTTGATTGCTTTCTAATCGCTTTCTCCTCTCAACCCCCTTTGCCCACCACTGCTACCTCCAGCATCATCTTCTGTGAGGCTGTGGCTATCTACGGCATCATCATGGCAATTGTCCTTAGCAACATGGCTGAGGTATGGAGTATGGGGGGTAGGGGGGGGATCCATTCCAGTGT